TATCATGTTTAATTGATGACTTGCATCGGATCCTATAAAATTGACCAATTAATTTACATATTTAGTCGTCGAATGTCTTTTCGATTTCGGCATTTTTTCATTACCATGTCTTTAGGATTATCTTATCTTTTCAATTCAGGAGGACAAAATTGAATCGAGTTCATAACACATTATAATAGATCATTAGAAATCTATTCTAGCTGATATACTCGTGATCTTTTCTTTAAGAGGTTTGACTATAGCAATTCTAGCGTCGGAACGATTCGAATGTCATTTTTTAATTGACCGATTTATCGCGTAATATGTACATACATCCCTTTGATTTTAAGCTTATTATGAACTTGCCAAGAACCATAACGATGCTATTCTCGGAGAGAAAAAAAAGGGGGTCCGGGCCCCGAAAATGGAAATTGTTTTCAAATACATGCATCGGGTAAATGTCAAGTTTTGGTAAGAACACTGAGATTATGCACTTAATTTGAATAGAACGGACAAGTAGATTTAGTTTAACCTTGTGCGCTCAAACTAGTTCTAAGTTTCTAATTCAACATTAACATTTTCACAAAACAATAAAGAATCCGAATTAGGTGGATATATAACTTTATACTTAAATGATTCGCTAGCATTGTGCACATTAATCTCATAGCTCGCCAGAAATTAACGGGTTACATGTTATACTTAAATGATTTGATCAAACGTTGTTGAGGCACAATGAAGATGATTCGTGGAGAGAGGGACTCGAGCAACAGCGGACCCGAAAGAGGGGCAAGCGGCGGTCATCACCCCCGGTCGTTGCTCGTACCTTAAGATTCTGCCCTAGTCAATTTTTCTATGCGTTTCGTGTGACAAGTCTACCGAAAACTTTTAGATCTTTCCCGCAACTTAACCCTCGCCTTCTGTCGACCTCACGATTCCTTATCGTCGAGGCGTCTCTCTTTGAGCAATATCTGGAGCATTGATTCCTTTTCAGGACTATTTCTACCCTAAATAAAGTTGATGCATCACCGTTGAGAAGTACCAAGAACACTATGGTCATCCTAGAACTTGAGATTTCTATGTGTTTCCAATGACAAGTTTACCAAAAATTTTCAATCTGTCCCACTAAGAAAGTTACCCATCGCCTACCACCGCCCGCAGTGGCTGCGTTGGTTTGCGCTCTAGTCCCCCCACGAAGGGATCAGAATTCGAACCCCAACGTAGTCGTTAAGGATTCTTAAGTGTGGCGCCGTGGTGGTGGGTCCTGCACTAGCGTCACCCCAGATTTACCCCTCCGGCTGTCGGCCGTGCGGGGGGTTCCTGAGTTATCAAAAAAAAAAAAAGTTACCCATCGCCTTATCTTGACCTCGTGATTCCTGATCGTTAAGCCAGCTCTCTTCGAGGAGAATCTGGAGCATTGATTCCTTTTCAGGACTAATTCCACCCTAAATAAAGTTGATGCATCCCTGTCGAGGAGTGCCAAGAACGCTATGGTCATCCTAGAACTTTGCGAATTTTCTCGGATGACTCATCGGGATACCTCATTCTAAGCGACATCTCCGCGTTGGAGACGGACAATTAGTCGTGTTATCAGATAAGATACTCCAACAATCCCGCTCGCAGGATGAAGAAATGAGAGAGTCATCATGTCGACACTCTGGCGTTCGAGACAAGAAAAAGGAACTGAGACGAGGAGTCAAAGTTGGCGAGAGATTGATACAGAAAGGAGGACCCACCCACTTCTATGGTTTGGTATATTCGTCATCAGCCTTTGCGATTCAATCGTCATGCGCCTGGAAAAAGATCTCCATTTTCCTAGAGATGTCTCTGCTTCCTACCACCTTCCTTTGTCTTTTCCAAGCTCACCAATGCCTTTATCCCTTTGGTTTTGTGGTGACCATTTGTTCTTCCGCAAGGGGGAGTGACCGTGTCGCAGCTTTCATCGGTCAAACCTTGAGAATTAGAAAGATCAAATTGGACCACCACTCCATTTTATTGAGAGAGGCCGTCACATTTGAAGCAATACCACCTCCGACCAAAGATCCCCACAAAAACGCTCGCCAAAGCCCGATAACGAATTTTCCAAGCCACTGATAGCGAAATCCACCCGGATTAGTGGCTTAAAGCTGATCCTCTCGTAGACAAACGATTCGGGAAAGCTTCAATTCATGTCATGACCGAAGCAAGTAGCCGAGAATATTCGCATGTTATGATGACATTATGAGAAACAGCACGTAAACATCTTAATCTTTTGCAACGCGTTGGATTTGCGTTATTTCCACAAAGCATGTAGCGAAGTATATTCACACGTCGTAATCAGTGCAGCGAGAAATTTCGATGGTTTACTTGTCGAAAGAGAGTGTTGTGATAAGATTATGAGAGATAGTGCGGAAGCATCTAAATCTTTTACAACGGATTTTATTCGCATTATTTCGTTAACATAGCGTGGATAGGATGAAACCCCTGATGATCATGAATGTTGGTATGGCTATGATATTGGTCCTGGTGAGATTCTTGAGGTAGCTTTATTTATCCGTCTCTCAAACAGACAAAAGTAGGCCAAAAGAAAAGGTTGAGGTTGAAATGTACGTAAGCTCTTTTGATATAGTGGTTGTGAAATCATTCTTCCTTTTCCCATTTCTGTGGAAAACAAGCAAATGGCTCATGCCACTCATGAAGTCGATTAAGATTTCTTTCTTCTTTTTCTGCTTCTTCTTTTGGCTCTTGATTTTTTGGTTTTCTGCCACCTTCTATTCCTTCTAGAAAGCGATTGGTTTGGTTTGATTTGGTTTGGTTTGGTTTGGTTGTGGGTGGCAATGTTATTTGTGACAATGTAGTTTGAGTCGTTCCACTAAAAATTGTTAGCTTGATCGATGTTCGCAAACTGTACCGGAGACAAAATCGTAAGGGTGTCCGTGTTCGCTTTTGGTTGACGGTCGTGAGACATGAACTGGCCAATTCGGTTCGGTTTTCGGCACATTAAGGTTACGCTTAGTCGTCTGGATTTTTAGTCAGGATTAGCAGTGAGCAGTACCAGGTTTCGTTCAGATTCCATCTAGAACCTAACATGTTCAACCTACCCGTTGTAATAGGTTCCTTAATTTTTGGAACCTGAAACTTACCTTGCATACTCAGAAACCTGGAACCTTCTTATCACATGTTCCAAGGTCGGTTCTAGGGTCTACCTAGGTTCTTTCATACTCTTAATTGAACGATTACAGTGAATCATCACTTCTAATGAATCACAACTTATATTTAAACACATGAAAAATATGGAAAAATAACAAAGTAAAAGTCTTAATTATGGATATCGCCGGAAATGGAAGCTCATACTAATGATTTCATATTACACACCCATCATTGAATGCCATGGAATGCTGCAGGATTACACAAAAATATAGAACAAGAAAAATACAAAGACTTGTTCAGGTTCTAGGTTCCACTTGGAACCACCAATCCGGTTCTTAGATTTTCAGTTCTACCTTGGAACCATGCTCATCCCTAGCCAAGATAGGACTGAATATGATATGATATGAAATTCTAGGATTTTGCTATATCCTATCCGTTGTTTAGTAAATCGTGGTAATAATGTCAGATATTTTCACATGTTATCATGTTAATTGTTTGCTATGAACGACGTATCAGTGTAAATGAATATAAAAATTGCACAAACGAACGTGGTAAGGATCTCTTATACACTCTTGCCTACTTCATTTTTATTGCTTATTTTTTTATTATTTTTCCCTCACCTTTTTTTAATTCTTTTATTTTTTATTTATCTTTTCCCCTTCCATCATTCTCTAATAAAATTTTATTAAATAGTGAACTACACTAATATACCTAAAATATGTAATAAATATAAATATTTTATATTTGTATTTATATTTCTATATGTGAAATTTATATAATAAGATAGAAAAAATGAATTATTTATATGCAAATATGATTTTAATTTTATTAATTTAAGAAGTTTGTTATTCAAGAAAATAACTTTATATTATGGACGTTAAAAATCCTATCTACCTTTATATCACCTCTCCCATGGGATAATTTTATCTGGGCTATATCCCTTTTATATCCAATTTTATCCTATTTTGGGCAAGCATCAAATAGAAGATAGGATAAGCCGAATTTTATCCTGACTACTCAACGTAGCCTAAGCTTTATGTAACAAGCTGGGAAGGGGTTGCTTGGGCCAGCATGAGCCAGGCCCATGAGGCCCATATTCATGGGACCATGCCCACTTTCCCACTCCTTATGAGTACAGTTGCAGCAGTCTTGTTGGGCTTAATTGAAGATCCAGCCCAGCCCACTGAAATTTGTATTTTCAGAAAAGACTGCATAATGTAGGTGCTTTCATTGTTGTTTGCTCCTGCTCGTTTTAAGAACGATGCTGAAGCCATGGCGATATCAAAAAGCTTCTAACCATGATACTCTGTAAAAATAATTAAATTTGACCTATTACCAGAGAAGCTCTTATCCTAGCTTGTTGTTCGTAAAGCCTGAGCGCACTCGCAAAGTGGTTGGCCTTGGCACGTCTCAAGATTGATCCGCTTCACCACCACCGACTCCTCGTGTATGCCTAAGAGGCATGGACCTATGTGACTCTGTAATGACCCGATATGATCGGGATTGGAGGAATTTAACCGTACCCGGTGGAGCACTGGTCAGGATGTGATTGGGACGGACAGACATTTCCACACCGAGTTGAACTATGGATCGGTCGCCAATCAGTGATCGACACGGTATAGGGCAAAAAAGAGCATGTTTTTAGAGAGCTTGTATTTTCGACGTGGTACTTTTACGCACTCTGTTCTTTCAATGACAATGTGAAGTGCGAGTAAGTGCAACCACAAGTACTTTCCTCTGCAATAGCCAAGAAGAGGGCACAAATTTTGCTCGTTACATCCATTCATCTTTTCCGCGTTCTGATTAAATAGTACCTGAAGTTCATTCGGAAAACAAGGGCTTGGACTCCCCGGTGCGTAAATTAGTAATGGAAAGGTAATATCGAATTGGACTGATTTGCAAAGTATAAAGATTTCATTTATTCATCAGATTCAAACCCAAGAAAAACCACGATTTAATGAACAAATCATCCCATCGCTTCTGATCAAATCAGAAATAATCCTAGTTTTTGAGCTACATTGGCAAAAGTATAACTTCTTGTTGCGAAAACATATCAATCGCCGACATCTTTAGTTGGGATCGGAGAAGAACTTGTTGATGGATGGCATGATCTCAGAGGGTCTGTTGCGAACGAACTTCCTGACGACATGCTGCGAGTACTTCTCACCCTCTGCGAAGTTATCGAGCACCCCAGCGGCTCTGTTCTCTTTGGTAACTCTGGAAAAAGAACATTCGCGAAATCAACATCAGCTTCACAATCATGAAATGTAACTGCTGAATATTAGAAAACCCTATTCACAAAGGGACACAGATGCCTCAGGTCCAAAATAACCTTCGACAGAAAGATGTTTGAGAGCCAAAATGTTACCTGACTTCTGGGTTAGTGCAGATGTTTCTTATGAGTTGCATCCCGCAGATGCCAACCGCTACACCAACCGCGGCAAAAAGAGGGTACACCTATTTCGCGAGAACGAGAGAAGAGAGCCCCATATTAGTCCTCAGCGAGTCGCATTAACACATTCATGATAAAAAAATAAAAAAAAGGTAACAAACTCGAAACCAATGTTGCTCGAAAAGGTAGTTTAGGCTTGTGGGGCAGAATGACCCGATAGACAAATGATGAGGAAATTAGTACTAACTCTCGAGAATGTGCGAGTATCGGTGACCATTAACAAAAGCATATCAATTATCAAATCCCTACGTTTGTTATATAGCAAAGCCGCCCCATCAACATATCAATCTCGGTGACTCGAGACAGATTGAAGCTGCCATAGAAAGATCTTGAAAACTGCATGGATGGTAATTAGATGTGCATTCGAACTGATGTACATTAATCTCTGTGGTATATGCTCAGATCTCTAGATCCATGTCACGATCTTCCTAACCATCTTTCCAGATCCTAGGTAAGACATGCTAATTGAACTCTTAAAAAAGGAAAGAACTAGCACAGCAACCGCCATCTACGAGTTGCTGAACCTACAAACCCAGCCCCATGAAAGGCACGATCACACCGTCACGTACAGACCAACAAAACCAAGCTCTCAAACTTCCAGACAAAACTCAACAAAACGACTATATAAAAAAAATATAGTGATAGAACATGGCGTGCACCTCGGGCCTGATCCATCTGCTGGCGGTGGAAGAAGCCATTGCCAGAGAGACAGAGATCTGCGGAGAGGGAGAGAGGGACGAAGCAGGAGCAGACCCTTTCCTTTACTCTCCGAGCAAGAAAGCTTGGAGAGGAAGGCAGAGAAAGAGACAGACCCTACCCAGAGAAAAAACAACGGAAAAGACTCCATCTTTATGGGGGGGCACCAACGTTTTATTAATAGGAAAGAAAGAAGAAGAAGGAAGCATATCTGCCTCGATTGGAATTTGACTGAGAAGCGGGTCAACGATGAACAACCGCCGACCATTGAGATGGGCTTCGGATCGCGAACGGTGAGCTGTGCTTCTTCTTGGGTTGTCCTCCCGAATATTCAGGGGCGATCTGCTGTCCGTGGCGTGTGAAGATTGTGGCGTGCGGACCAAGAACAGGCTGTCCCCGTCCTCTACGCACGCGCGATCCAACAGCTCTCAGCATTGACGTTTCGTTGGGGGGAATTGAGGAAGAAAAAATGGAACTAGAGTTTGATTTGGTTTGACTTTTTACTCCTTTTCTTTAGGATTATTTGGGCAGATCAAAGGCTCGAAACGTAGTAATACCGAGATGTTGCATATAATTCTTCATGATTCTTTAAAGTCAATCGAGTAAAACCGGCAGTATGACTTTTTTTTCACACGGTGTGTTTTAGGTGTGAGCATGGTCCAGAGTAGAACTGGCCATAGGAACCGATCCGGTTTTAGGTTCTTACGGTTACCGGTTCGATTCCCGGTTTCAAAAAATAGCAAAGCCAGTACCGTACGGTTCGGTTCCCGATTCTTGGGTAAGAATCGAACCGGGAACCGAGAACTAGAAATTATATATTGTAAGTGATGTTTATATCTTTTTATGTTGTAATTCACTTAATGAGTGAATATTTTATTCAATCTATTCTTCTTCTTTTTTTTAGATAGGGATTGCTTGTCTTACTGAGTAGATTATCATTAGTAAATAGAGTTTACGAGTTCTGTTTTTGGTCAAAGAGTTTATGAGTTGAAGTGAAATGAATATATATGATGAAGCTTTCGAATAATTATTGTAGTTTAATTAATAGTAATATAGATTTAAAACTATTATTAAGTGATTAACTATGCTTGATGTTTCATTTGATTTCAGATGGTTATAATTTGTCATGGATGATTGAGGACTGAAGTTCTATAATTTAGGTTTTATGTTACGTGTTTTGAACTTTTTATTGTTTATTTTATTTTACTTGTACATCTTTTATAGATTGTTGTCATTGAAAATTGGAGATTTTTGTTGTTGCATTCACTTTCATTTGCTTAACAAAAAATGAAACAAAAAAAGAAAAAGAAAATTGGCCTAAAAGAATTTGGAATAATTATACCCTGGAACCGATTGACATGGTAGGTTCCAGGTTCCATGGTATACAAAGTAAGTTCCAGGTTTCAAAAACCGGTGAACATATTCCGACAGGGTTGGTTCCAAGTTTGAACCGCTCACCCCTAGTGTGTTCCATACTAAATAACCATATACGTGTCTTAGTGTGTTGAGCTCGAGATTACTTGTGTACATGAAAAACTCTATACGTTAATACTGAAAACTTTTTTTTTTTCTTGCCATCATCTAATTCTCTTTTTCTTTGTCCAAACGTTTCGTTTCAAAATATTACTTCACGTGGTAAACATACTCGTCTGCCTTGATTATAATACGAATCAATCGCTATGCTTACGTGCTTCTTTAGGTTACTTTCGATAGTGTCAAGATGAGTCGGGTGCTCAAAAAAACTTCCGACACAATATCCTCGGGACTAATAGATGTATACTTTCAAGAGATTTAAAGAATAGGGGGGTGTAGCCAAATTCAATTCATTCAACGACACGTCGTACCGCCTTCCCCCAACCGTGATTCTCGCCGCTCAATAAAAGCAAAGCGTGCGTACCCGCTGCTTCGCACGCCCGTTGCCTTTTGCTCCCCCTTCTGTTTTTTTCCGCCCGTCGTATTTGTTGACTTTGACCTCATCGTGTTATGTTCATATAATTTAATAATGCACGCGCATGCATGGAAGGTGTCGTGGTGTAGTTGGTTATCACGTCAGTCTAACACACTGAAGGTCTCCGGTTCGAGTCCGGGCGACGCCACTTTTTTATTTTATTTTATTTTTTTAATCGTTTTAATCTCAATTTCTCTATTTATTTTCATTTTTTCGCAGAATCATATTATTCTTTTTTTTTTCCATAAGAATCATAATATTTTACTGCGTAATAATTTTGAACTGTGGTCAACGGGACAATTTTGACTTCACAACTAACTAGCTCCGTCATCTTCGCCTATTTATTATAAATAGTATAATGCCCCTCGATCTCCTTTGCCTTTCTAAATTGCACGCGAGATTGGATCTTGGATCTGTGCCTAAACAATGTGGCAAATTGCCAGCGCCTAATAATAATTCGACATTCTTTTAGTGTATCGATTTTGTAACCCAGATTTAGTAAACATAATAACATTAAGCAGCTTCCATCTCGCTCTTCTGTAGGGATGGAACCTGATCCCGAACCTATAATTTTTGTCATTTTCCCAAATACATTACGGGTTTCGATGTGAGATGGCAATTCCGTCTCGTTGAAGTTGTCGAGTTCTAGTCAAGCGCTCGCAACCCGCGATACTATTCTAGTTAACATTCTCATACCAATAATTTGTTTGTTTCACCGAAAACTTTCGTAAAAAAAATGTTTTCAAGGTCAAAGAAAGTGCACCATATTTGGTATTTGTTTGTGCTGGAAAAACAGATGAAAAAAAATGGTTTTATGTTATGTGTTAATAAGTGAAATCCACTCAAGCCAGCTTGTATAGATAAAAATGACTACAAACTAGAGTCCACATCTTCTTTGTCTATTCTGCAACCCATCAAAGCAACAAGAGTTCACAAAGAAATTAGGAAATAAATTATTAAATCATGTTTGGAAGATATTATATTATATATGATTGTTTTTTAATTTTGGAATGTAGAGCATTAGCATCAATGAAGTATATTCAAGAGATGGTAAACAAGATCTGTAAAAAAAAAACTCGATGAGACTTATCGAAAGAACGGAGATGATAGAAAATCGAGAGAGAGATTCTCTCTTAGAAGCGCAATAAGAAATCACAATAAATTATTTCTTTCTTATTAGGAGGGGAAGTCGGTTTCCCCTATCTAAACCGAACAGATCTTGATATATAATAAACCGCGTCAAAATTACAAATCGCAGCAATTCATCCAAAAATCATGCTTTGTGAATCTCCAAAGATAATACGCGCAGAATTGATAAGTGTAAGTATGTAAGATCGAAGGAAGTTCAACATCAACAATTACAAAAAAAAGAAAGTTTAACAATCCTAAAATGAAAAATCAAGCTTATAATGGTGATTGCTCCTAACAATATTAAATTACAATTAAATTCCTTTAGGAGTTCACAAAATTATGTACCCTTAAAAATTTAGTAAATCTAAAAAACGTCCGTAACTCTAGTATAATTATCATAATAATGTACATTTGCTAAATAACCTAAAGACTATAAAGGAAATAAAGCCGATTTAGTAAGTAAAACGCATCAGATTTGGATATTGGAATTTCCAACTATAAAAATCCCAAACATGTATTATTGAAAAGTCTACTAAATTTCAAATTTTTTCAATTTTTCTAAACCGACCAAAATCAAGTTTATTCCACACATGCCCGAGCCATGTGCTATTTTAATAGTAAACTAAAAAAAATACCAAGAAAAGATGAACACGAAAGAACCATGGTTACATAACAAGTTCGAGAAGTGCACAAAATTTGCGATAAAATAGAGAGATCGAATTTATCCACCTAAAAAATAAATAAATGTACTTACCAAAAACATCGACTTTCCATACGCGTGATCGCACAATACATGTAGTGAAATTAAACGAGATTATTTCCATGAAAAAATGGATTTAGATTACCAAATTAGAAACTTACAAAATCTTTCGTATTCCGCAGAAGATTCTAGAACAGAGATTTCCAAAAACTTGTAGCTCGCGAAAGGTAGTTGTCCCCCCCACCCCCCGTCGCGTTGGTCCACCATCAACCATTCCTCGATTTTGACTTCGGCCCCCACCACCTAAAACCCTAATTCAATTCAAAACTCTCCACCTGTCGTTTTTGGGTGGTTTTGAAAATTCGAGGTGCAACGTCTTAAAAGGTTAATAAGTTTTCTCAATCTTGCACAAAAACCCCATTGTAGCACGACTTTTTTTTGACAATACATGTAGAAATTACGGCGCTTTGAAACTTGTTTTTTACATAAGCGGCTACGTACTCCGTTTACTTAATACAGTGAGTAGTAATGATTGTTAAATCAATAATCGATGAAAGTCGCTTATTTAAAATTTGCATTATGCAGACCGTGTAATGCTCTTTTGTTTCCTTTCAAAATTACCCGTTTCTTCAATGTGAATGTCATCGAAAGCGACTGTATCCGAAACAATTTCCAATTTGTACAAATTTTGGTAACGTAAGATGTAAACAAATTGTTCACAATTTCTTCTTAGACTTTGGAATATTTCTTTTATTTTTACAAGGGGGAAAAGGCAAAAATGAACAGAAATATGTTATAGACAAAAAGCAGCAAGAACCTTCAAAAACCTGTTCCTACCCAAAGCCCCACCTGCTCTCAGATGCCTCCGAATATTCCCACTCCCCAAAACTTTTCCCCCACGCTCACCCGAGGCGCGTGCGCCACACTCCTACCCGACTCCCGCCCCCCGCCTCCCTCGCATCCACTCGAAGCTCCCCTCGGCTCGGCGCGTGTCCGTGATGCGCACGGCGGCCCTTCTTCCGGAAACAGCGGCTCCAACAGAGTTCCGCTTCGATTTATTAAAATCAGCGGCTCGAAGCGGGCATCGTTCCTCGGTTTCGTTTTGCCCAAGCAAAAGAGGAAGGAGGAAAAAGCGAGAAGCTGACCCCGCGAGTCACGTGACCGAGCCGAGCTAACTCGGCGCTCGACTCGCTATATATACCGCCTTCTCATCTCTCGCCCCTCGTCTCAGTCACAGTCTTTCATCGCTCTCTACACCGCTTCTCTCGCCGTCGTCTTCTTCTCATCGCTCAGCCATTTCCAAAACGCTCCCGTCGCTCCGCCGCTCGCCATGGGTAAGTTCTCGATCTCTCGGTCGCTGTAGGCTCTGTCCGATCGCGAGTTTCTCATTCTCCGATCTGGTCCCGATGCTGATGTGTTTCGTCTGGATCTGTCTTCTTCGCAGGGAAGGTCAAGATCGGAATCAACGGTCAGTAGTAGTTGCTCTCGATCGCGGTTCATTCGATCATCGGGGATCGATCTCCATTTCCGTGGCTTGATCTGGAAGTGGGGGGGGGGGGGGGGAGGCTCCGGGGTTTTGATTTATGTGTTGTGGTTTTGTGTTCTCTTTTAGGTTTCGGAAGGATCGGCCGCTTGGTCGCGAGGGTCGCGCTCCAGAGGGACGATGTCGAGCTCGTCGCCATCAACGATCCCTTCATCAACACCGACTACATGGTACGTGCCTCCCTCCCGGTTGGTCCGCGTGTTGCGCTTTTTTGGCGTGGATCGATTCGTTGACTCTTTTGCGGAGTGTTGGTGAATGCAGACGTATATGTTCAAGTACGACAGTGTTCACGGCCAGTGGAAGCATCACGAGCTCAAGGTCAAGGACTCCAAGACGCTTCTCTTCGGTGAGAAGCCGGTCACTGTTTTCGGCATCAGGTAGCTTCTTCCGGCTTTGATCTTCTGCGGATTTGTTCTCTAAGAGACGGTAGTGAGATGGATCTGGGTGCGATAATGGCGTTTTGGGTAATTTGTAGGAACCCCGAGGAGATCCCATGGGGCGAGACTGGAGCTGAGTTCATCGTGGAATCTACCGGTGTCTTCACCGACAAGGACAAAGCTGCTGCTCACTTGAAGGTTCGTTTTATCTAGATGCTCTTGTGTTCTGTTCATTTAATGCTCTGGTCTGAGATGGATTAAAGATCAATCTCAATGATTACGTCTGGATTTTTAGACATTCTGTATCCTGAGTAGCATGCCCTCCGTTTTCTAGTGGACATACTGGTAGATCTAGGGCAGATTCTGGTGATTTGTCAAAAGTGACTTGATTCTCGATTACTGACGTAGTACTTGCGATGATAGTGGCCCTTAGTGTTTCATCATCTGGGTCAGTGAAATCGCGATATGTCGTGTAAGATTGACGAGGCATTTGATCTGTTTGTAGGGCGGAGCTAAGAAGGTAGTCATTTCTGCCCCCAGTAAGGATGCACCCATGTTTGTTATGGGTGTGAACGAGAAAGAGTACAAGCCAGAGCTTGACATTGTATCCAACGCCAGTTGCACTACCAACTGTCTTGCCCCTCTTGCCAAGGTTCGTAACATGATCAATTGTGTTTTTTTTTTTTAGCATTCGTAATCATTCCTTGGAAATGGTGAAGGTCATTTTTGAACTGACCTTATCCTTGCAAATTTCAGGTTATCAATGACAGGTTTGGCATTGTTGAGGGACTTATGACCACTGTCCACTCCATCACTGGTGAACTGTTTGCCCTTTTAGTCTTCTAAAGTAATTCAGTACATCTAGTCAAAGTATAAAACTGACACGGGTTGCTTCCTCGTTGGTGATACAGCCACCCAGAAGACTGTTGATGGCCCATCAATGAAGGACTGGAGAGGTGGAAGAGCTGCTTCTTTCAACATCATTCCCAGCAGCACTGGTGCTGCAAAGGTACCTTGAACTGTGAAGTTTCCTGATTACTGGAGTAGTGTGATAATAAATGCGCTCGTTTTCATTTCTTCTGGGGTTGTTTGCCGCAGCGACATATTTTTGCATTATCTGGTGGCATTTTTGGCTATAAAATTCTTTTATCTTTTATGCCGTGCTTTGCGAAGCTCAAGTTGATTTTGCTAAGGCATGTGTCTGGTGCTTGTAGGCCGTGGGAAAGGTGCTGCCTTCCCTCAATGGTAAGCTCACTGGAATGTCCTTCCGTGTTCCTACTGTTGATGTGTCAGTTGTGGATCTCACCGTCAGGCTTGAGAAGGCGGCAACTTATGATGAGATCAAATGTGCCATTAAGTAAGTTTTAAATAGTCTTTTGATTTGTCTATTTAGGAGGATATTTTGTTGCACAAGCTGTACTGAAGTCTTCATTATGTTTACATGCCACTTGCATATTCTGATTAAATTTATTGGCCCTTTTTAGGGAGGAGTCTGAGGGCAAACTGAAGGGGATTTTGGGTTACATTGAAGAGGATGTGGTCTCCACAGATTTTGTCGGTGATAGCAGGTACGACGGTATTCTGAATATAATGAACTATAACCTTAAATACTTTTTGAGTGATGTTTGGTTGCAGATTGTCGTAAGAAGGAAAAAAGATTCAATATTTATACCCTATGCACTGTCACCAATTCTTGGCGAATTGATGGATGATTGCGCTTAGTCTCTGTTTAAGCAAAGTTTGATGACAGTTTCCTTGGTACTTCTGTGCAGGTCAAGCATTTTCGATGCCAAGGCTGGAATTGCTTTGAGCAAGAACTTTGTGAAACTGGTCTCATGGTACGACAATGAGTGGGGCTACAGGTAAATGTTCTTCTCCCCCTTGTTATTGCTCTCAGTTTGCCATTGTTGTCAAAACAGGTTTTTCTTGCCAAAATTAAATCTTGTGATGTTAGTGGAGGAATATGTGTGCAAGAATACTTGCCAATTGATATTGTATTTTCTGGTTTTGCAGTTCTCGTGTTGTTGACTTGATCGTCCACATGGCGTCCACCTGCGCTTAAATGGGAACTCCATCTTATGATTAACCGAGTTCTTTTTGTTTGTCTAATGGTGGAGTGTTTGGGGCTTACTTATTTGCTCAACCATCATATGGTCGTTGCGAGAGTCTGCTCATGCTTTTGTTTAGAGGTCTTTTGGCGTTAAGCCCATGTTATTCCGGTGTCCTCGCTCTTAGATGTTTGGAGCAATAAAAGAGACACAAATTGCCAAATCCTGTTTATGGTGTCCTCTTGCTTGCTGAGGTTTTGCAATACTTAAATGGGATCTATTACTATTCGCCCTCCTTTTCATTTCACTATAGCTTTTCATCATCGGGCATGACAAGAAAATGAGTTGGACGGATGGATGTGTTGGTTTAAGTCGTTCATCTTATATTATGGTTGTTCTAACTTCTTAAAACGTGGGGTTCAGGCTTAACCAGATCGATCAATTTGTAAAGACTTAACTTGAGCCCATTTATCCGCTGAGGTTTTTGATTTGCAATTTGTTGGGTACCAAGGACCATCATGTATCATGCATATGTACCGATAGTAACACGCATGGCTTTGCTTTTTTTGTGGAGTATAATTGCATTAACTTGTTAGTTGTATCATCGGATGGAACTGTGTTTCATTAGATTCATAAAATACGATTTACTTGTGAAACAGATTTGATTTGTTAGTTGCTGTTGAGTTGGTGGAGTACGTGTCGGTCGGTTCAATGTCCGCTAGTTCGCATTTGTCGTAATATTTTACGGTAACCAATCATTGCTTCATGCGATGTAATGATTCAAACAGCGTCTTGCCGAACTTTTGCAACCGTCGCCATCGACTGGGTCGTTTGCAAGGCGATCTGCCACCACTAGCATCGCAGCCATAGATTGATACTGGTTAATAATCACCGTCATTAATCTTCATTTGGTGGCGACAACCATCACACCACTGCCGATGCCTCACCAGCAATGCAGCCACTGATGGTTAGTCTCAACTCTCACTTTAGTTGCATTCCTTGTGCCCACTGAGAAAGTATTAGGTGAGATTGTCTTGTCAAGTTAGTAGGTTCAGCGTGCGATAAGTGTTCGGACAGTTTCTCCTGTCGGAATTCTTTGAAAGTCCCTCCATTTTTTCTCTTCGTTACTTCTCCGTTTACTGTCCTCGTTAGCTAGAAAGAAAATGTGTCTCTACTCCCTCTCCCTCCCACTTCACTAGTTCACTACCTCTATTAATTTTCTCACCTTCTAAGAGAGACATCTCTGATCTTTGAAATTCCTGAGAAAATGAGAAGAGGAAGCGATAAAATTGAAAGAGGGAAGGAACTTGTGAAGAGGGAGGGAGGGAGAACGCCAAGTCAAACCCAGCACGTTGAATGGAGTGGCTGTTTGCTAACTTGGCAAGACAATCTCACTTAATATTTTCTCGTGTCCAATCTCCATGATGGAGTTCATTAGACTCGTGAGTTTGGATCCATCATTATATTAAGCTGCTGAAAAGGGGAGGGGGAAAATGAATCAATGCTCGAGGAAAAGGCGTTAAATTAACATTGCTTGAATTGATTATTTTTAATCGAATTGAGCGAGGAAAAAACGTTTTATAATATTGACGCAATTGTACTACGAAAGGAAAAGTTAATTGTCGCAGATTTTCGTGCAGAAAATTAAAATGATCCACCCGTTCGCCAGCCAAAGCAAGAAATCGCAAGCAAAAGACATGAAAAACTTTGAATTTTCATGATCCCATTACGACAAACTAAAATCTAATGTGACTTATAATTAGATATTTTTTCAGTTATGTAACCTGCAATTGACGCACAATCTTACTATGGTTAAGTTTAAGGATGATTTGCTAATTATTTAATTTCAATAAAGGAAGGCCTCAATATATGTAAAATTTGTGTAAACGAAAAAACTCTATTCCCAAAATTAAAAACAAATAAAGGGTCCAATTGAGTAAAATGTTCTTGTCCGGAAGCAAAATTGCACTTTGTATATCATGGGATAAAATATAAATTTTAGGGAAAATTCCAAATAAGGGCTCGAAGTGCTTTCATTTTCTTAGATAAGGGTTTGAAGTGGCTATAATAGTTTCAAATAAGGGCCGAATCTTGACGGCCGGTCAATGACGTTTTCATTTAAAGACAATTTTAACCTAAATTAAATTAAAAAATAAGTTTTTTTTAAGAGGAAAAATACAAGCGGCTGGCGCCACCACCCCATTGCTGTTGGGGCGACGGTGACAGCAGGCAAGGTTGCTGGTGTCTTGATGAGGGCTGGCGACCCTCGCCAAAACCGGGAGAGGATCGCGACCCTCTCTTAGATTGGGGCGAGGGCCGGCGACCCTCGCTCGGTCAAGGCGAGGGTCACCGGCCATTGCCTCGGTCTAGCGGCCCACCCCTAGACCTGGACGAGGGTTGACGACCCTCACCCAAGGTCGCAACTCTCTTCCGATTCTAGTAAGGGCTAGGAGGCCTTTCGGCTCTTGCCAACGCCCCACTGGCAATGGGGTGGCGACCACAAGAAGCGAAGAGCCCGTGTGTTCTTTTTATTTTGACTTTTTTTTATGAAAAGAAAGAAGGAAAAAAAATCAAAAAAATAAATAATGAAAATGCCCTTGCCACTCCTTCAAATGCTGTCGATGTTTTATCCCATGATATACAAATCCTTAATCCCGCGCCTTCGGTATTTCCTCCGACGGACCGTGTCGACCAGTCTCCCGCCGTTTTCTCCCATGAGCTTCTTCTCTTCCCGAACCGCCGTCGCCCGGCGCCCCCGCACCTCCGGGCTCCCGCCGATCCGCCGGGCCGCTCCCAACCTCTCCTCCTACGCCCTCCGCGACGCGCCGCCCAGGAGCCCCGCCGCGGACCGGCCGTCCGACCTCGAGACCGTCGTGTCCAGGGTCCGCGCCGGGAGCAGCGAGCACGAAGTCCTCCGCTCCCTCGAGCGCGACCCCTCCTGCGCCTCCATCGCGGTCGTCCCCCACGGCCTCGTCGAGAAGCTGCTCCATCGGTTCAGGGACGACTGGAAGTCCGCCCTCGGCGTGTTCCGGTGGGCCGGGCCGCGCGCCGAATCCGGCCGCGCCTCCCCGGAGGCCTGCGACGCGATCGTCGATATCCTCGGCAAGAGCCGGAGGATGGACAGGATGAGGGAGGTTTTGGAGGAGATGAGCCGGGGCAAGCTCGTGAGGCTCAGCACGGTAGGGAAGGTGATGAGGAGGTTCGCTGGTGCGGGGTTGTGGGAGGAAGCGGTCAAGGTGTTTGATGAATTGGGGGACTTCGGGTTGGAGAAGAACACCGAGTCCATGAACTTGTTGCTGGACACGCTCTGCAAGGAGCGCAGGGTCGAGCAGGCGCGCTCGATCATGCTGCAGCTCAAGCCTCACGTTTTGCCCGATGCGCGCACGTTCAATATTTTGATCTTCGGTTGGTGTAAGATCAATAGGGTCGACGAGGCGCAGTGGACTATCCAGGAAATGAAGGGCCACGGGGTTCGGCCCTGCGTCATTAGCTACTCGACGATCATGCAGTTTCATTGCCGTCAGGGCAATTTCAATAAGGTCTATCAACTGTTCGACGAAATGCGGGATGGGGGGAGCCTGCCGAATGTGGTCACGTACACTACGGTCATGCATTATCTGGCAAAGTCGGAGGAGTTTGATGAAGCGCTGCAATTAGCCGAGAGGATGAAGTTGGATGGGTGCAAGCCGGATACACTCTTTTACAATTGCTTGATCCATGTGCTCGCGAGAGCCGGGCGAGTTCGAGATGCCATCGATGTTTTTGAGGTGGAGATGCCTACTCGTGGCGTAAGACCAAACACGCCTACCTACAATACCATGATTTCGATGTTTTGTCACCATGGTCAAGTTCAGAAGGCGATGGATCTCCTCAAAGAAATGGAAGATTCAAATTTTGCCAAACCTGATGTTCAGACGTACTATCCCTTGCTGAAATCTTGCTTTAAATCTGGGAAAACTGACGGCTTTTTGAGCAGATTGTTGGACGACATGGTCAACAAGCATCACCTCAGTCTGGATGTCTCGGCATATACACTTCTAATTCATGGGTTATGTAGAGCGGACAAAGCTGATTGGGCTTACCTTCTGTTTGATGAGATGGTTGGTCAAGACATAAGTCCAAGGTATCAGACATGTCTTTTGCTGCTGGATGAAGTGAAACAGAAGAACATGTATGATGCCGCTGAGAGGATTGAGGATTTCATGAAGAAAATATGAGGACAAGGTAAAATCTATATTAAGCTGGCATATAGTTTGATATGGCTCGGATGTTACGATGAACAAGTAGCTGCAACCCTCAATATTCGTGATCCTTGTTGTTTGGCTGTTTGCTATTGCTCTGAAGCTTTAAATGGAAAGTGTTGTGAATCATGAATTAGAGTCCATTTCATTATTGAAAGCAAGGGTCCAGCTTGGTGAGATGACGAGAGCTTTTAAGTGCATAAGACAGTTGGACAAACTATTGGTTTGGACTGAAGCATTCTGAAATCAACGAATGCACTCAAAGTTTCTGAAATACGCACTGCAAATTCTGTGAATGGAAAATGTGAATATCCTTGTTACATGTCTGCATGGTGTTGGAATGGTTTGCGTATGAAACTTCATGTTCTCTTTTATTACAATGTAAAGGCATTATGTCGCACTTACTGGAAGCTTGAATCCTCCATACTAATTGTTTTATAGTTTCTGTTGCAAGAGTCCAACTATATCTATATAAAACCTTGGTCGATATGTTAATCAGACAGAACTCTCCTTTGGTATTTATAGAGCGCTTATTCCGTCACTGATGTGAATCTAATTTAAGAGCATCTTTGGAGCTTCGTTTCTGTTTATTTTTTCTTCCTTATAAGATTGCAGTAAGAAGCCAACAAGGTCATCTTTGTGAATCTTAAATTTTTTGTAGCCTAGAAGCGAAGAGAGTTTAAGTTAAATGGCCGACAATTGCCTCAATCAGCTTGAATCCAGGAAATTACCTCGCCTATTGTTGCTTCCTGGCTAGTGAAGCCAACCACTCAGGGATACGATTTTTGTTCTGTAGATTTGAATGCCAAAATGATGTGCCACAGTAGAATGGTGTAGATAGAGATTATTGGATTCTTAAAAGTACGATTCATGCAGAGAATGCTGTCCGTGTCGGTGGCGGTATATGAATTTCTGATCTATGTAAAAGCATTTATCACTTCAGTTATTTTATCCCAACTTCTTTGCTCTCTTCCCCTTCGGTCAACACGCACACCCTGCTTGATGTTGAAAAGCAAATAGCGTAGATGGTACTGACTGATGAACGTGCTCTGTCTCATGTTGACAACCTGATATTCCCCTAACAAGATTGCTTCTGTTGCACCAGGCGCAGGAAGCCCATATTTTGATGCCGACATTGTGAACCAGAATGTTGCTCAACAGTCGCAGGCCGTTAGGACAGCATAGGACAATTGTGGCTGGCGAAGGATGATGGACAGCCAGAGGGCAGAATCGTTATCTGCCCGCGGCAACAAAAATCCCATCAATCGATGGAGTTTCCGGTGGCGCGTACGCTACAAACAATGACGCTGTTTGCTCGCCACCTCCAACGAATTTGCTGAAAACCCTGAACGAAGGGGATTGCAGCGAACGCCCGATGCAACGTCATCATGCCACTGCAAGTTTCTTGAAGAAGACGAAACATATGGACTCGGATAATACTCGAGCCTCATGCTGCGGGGGTTTAGGGCGAGAGCTTGTTCTTTCAGTGGAAAGATTAAGACTGATGGGTACTTCACAGTTCACAGATCTGGCTGGGAAGAAGATCAAGCAGAGACCCAAACAGAGTAACATGCAAATTGTAGCATTGTGATGGAATGATTCATCTATAACGCAGCTGAGTAATTGCGTGCCAAAACTCTGTGCATTGGGATGCTTGTTACGAGGGGACGACACCCACGTGATTCCCCCAACTTTATCTCAAAATCCGAGTCCGAATCTCGTGATCCAAAGCACGATGGCGATAATAGCACAACGACGGACCTTCTGATCACTTAAAGGCCCCGCGGTAGGGGCCTCGCGCATCCTTCATCGTCATCGACATTCCCATGTGCTTTGATGGTCCACCTCCATCATAATCATCCTTGATCGCTTCTTTGGACGTGGGACTGAACCACCCACATTGTCGTCTTCCCTTTGACATGTCTACTCCTTAGGTGCTCGCTATAAGAATCGCCGAATCCGGTCACGAATCGCTTAATCGCCGTGCTTATCTTTTGACAGGGCTCGGGACCTGTTCGAAATTCGATGTGGGTTTTTAGTCGACTCGTGATCAAAGCGGGGAGAAAAGAGTTCGGAGCCAAGAAAAAGTTGTATAGTGTTGCTCAAGTGTCGCGAGAGATGACGGCGTGATGTTTTTGAACCGATCGAGTGGTCTTGTTTATTATGCATTAAAGAGATAAGTGCCTAGGAAGTCCTAAAACTTGTTACGGAAGTGTAATTGAGTTCTAAAACTTTCAAAAAGTGCAATTAAGTCTAAAAACTTATGACGAAAGTGCAATTAAGTCCTAAAACTCATCACGAAAGTTCAATCAAGTTCTAAAACTTGTCAAATTGGTTCAATCAAATCCTCTCATTGATTATATTTTTTCGAGAGTTTTAAGACTCAATTACATTTTCGTGACAAGTTTTCAGTACACGATTGTATTTTTTGTAAGTTTTAAAATACGATTATACTTTCAAGATAAGTTTTATGATTTGATTGTACTTTTTAAAAGTTTTAGTACTCGATTACACTTTCGTAACAAATTGTAGGACTTCCTGTGCAGTTATCCTGACAAGTCTTCTTGAACAAAATGAAAACGCGTAATTGGTGTAATGGCGCGACAACAGCCGACTGTTGAGGTGTAAGCTAAGCTTTGACGGGGGGGATTTTGGGCGATGTGATAGGAAATGCTTTTGCACTAATTAAACAATTAAGGATTTGATTATCATTGCCATTAATGTTGGCTTTATTAGTCAAATTGAAGTTCGAAGATAAAGTAGGCGGACCATTGTTTGCGGTCGGCAAGGCCTCGAGGTTATCTAAAGGCCGGTGACCAAAGACATCTCATCAATTTCTCTCTTCTAGATTTATTTATTAAAATAAAATAACGATATAAAAATAATAATCTCAAATGGACCTACTAATATTCGTTTTTAATCGATGATTAAAAACGTAATTATGATAATCTCAAGATAATGATGCGGAATTGCAGCGGGGTCCATGCAATAGAGCCTCTTGTTTCCTCTGGTCCAAAAAGTGGCAAATGGAAGTCTCCAAAAAGATTTAACAAGAAAATGATTTTTTTCCCTCTTATTAATTTCGCTGATCTATCAATTTTATCAGGATAAGATGCGAAGGTAACAATATTAGAACATGAATATTTTTTGAAAGGATGATGGTCATATATTGATCGATTTATAGAAATTATTCGTAACTGGTTATGCATGTGTATTTTCCATTCGGTTATTTGCGTCAATACATTTTATATGCCCGGTCATTTGGGGTCCTTATCTATTCATTACGAGAAGGTACCAAGTAGAAAGAATTTATCGAATCGGGCGCGAATTGTCGTCCCAAAGTTCAAACTTACAACATAGCCGAGCAGAAGAATGATAATCCAAAGGAAAGCATGAATTGGTATCGAATGATTCCCATTTTCTTTTTGATACGTGCGCGAGCGCGCACCTTATATAGGTAAATCCCACGTTAAGAAACACACTGCTAACCTCTCGCTGAATGGACCGAGTCGGACGCTAACTCGAAACCCGGGATGACTGGCGAAATTCGAATCGTTTGCAATGATCGAAAGGTGCACGACATTCAAGCGTAATCCTCGTGCAAATCCATCTCTGAAAAGCGCACTGAATTTTATAAGCCACCGACTAGTCCTTCCGGTCCCAAACCTACTGATGGAAGACACAAGCACTGCAGAAGGGTGGAGATTCTAAGGGGAAGGTACACATGCATGCGCCCGGGCCAAAAGACACAACAAGAAGGTCGATGCATGTGCTTCCTCGACCAAGTCCCATAATATAAAAATCGCAACTTTCACGGTGGATTTATCAAAAGAACAGTCCCGATTGATGATTGGATCACCGGATACCGCGGGCCGACGCCTTCTTTCTTAATTATAATTGGGAAAACGATATGAATGGTCCATGTATTTTGACTCGACATGCAATATGGCCCTTAAACTTTTAATTTGTTCATTGTAGTCACTGAGTTATAGCTCAATGTGCGATGTGGTTCCTGAACTTTTAAATTGTTCATGTAATCCTTGGACTTTTGATACATGTTCAATTTAGTCCCTAAACTATATAAAAATGTTCAATGTAATCCTCCATCAACTATACGTAAATGTTTAACGTTGTCCCTGAAGTTGAATTAGTGGAAGGACAACATTGAATATTTTCATATAGTTCATGGACTAAATCGAACACGTACCAAAAGTTCAAGGACTGCATTGAACAAATTAAAAGTTTAGGGACCGCATCACACATCGGGGTAAAGTTCAGAGACCATACTGGACAGATTAAAAATTTATGGACTATATTGCATGTCGGGCCAAAATTCATGGACCGTCTGTATCATTAATCCGTTATAATTTGAACATCATCTGCGAATTTTGCCATTTTTGGGAAATTCGATTGGGAGCGGAGTGTTCCGACGGAGCTGCCTTCTGCCAAAGTTGTTCATCAATTTGTGAAATGAGAGACCATGTCAAGTACCCAATCGCACGCTATCGAAAGCTTGGGGCAAGAAATTTTTTTAAAAGGTCATTTTCCATCTTTGGCCAACCCATGAATTGGAAACGTTCATCATCTCAAAAGTCAACGGACATACGTGGAATTCTCATGCTTGGCTTCAAGTTTTCGTTCTCGTCCCAGAATGATCTCTTAGTGCGAATGCGAATATAGCGTTCCGTAAATCAAATTCTTGCCAGAAATTGATTTAAATTGCTTCTTAGAAATTGATTTCGGAGAAGAAATCTGTTTGGTAAAACATGACTAATTCTGCTCCAGAAATTGATTTCTGGAACAGAAATCTTTTTTGATTTGTTGATTTTTTTTTCACCTAAAAAAATTTAAATTTTACTCAAAGTGGGTGGCTGCGGGTATTATAAGTCATTCCGTAAATTTTTGAATTTTTTGATTTTTTAATTTTTTTTGACACCTAAAAAATTTAAATTTCACTTAAAGTGGTGTGTGGTATTCTAGCCATTTTGTGAAGTTTTGAATTTTTTATTTTATTTTTTAGGCACCTCAAAAAATTAAAATTTTACTCAAAGTGGTATTCTAGCCATTTTAAAAGTTTTGAAAGTTTTGAAATTTTAATTTTTTTAATTTTTTGGGCACCTCAAAAATTTAAATTTCACTCAAAGTGCACAGTATTTTAAGCCATTTTGTGAAGTTTTGAAAATTTTTATTTTATTTTATTTTATATTTTTTTACCTCAAAAAATTTAAATTTCATTTCAAAGTAGATGCATGTATTTTAAGCCATTCTGTGAAGTTTTGAAATTTTTGATTTTTTTTTGGCACCTCAAAAAAATTAAATTTCACTCAAAGTGGGTGGCCACATGTGTTTTAAGCTATTCTGTGAAGTTTTGAAATTTTTGATTTTTTGATTTTTTTAAAAAAAAATTCACCAAATTTCATATTTTCCCGAAATCTGACTTTTTTTTTATTTTCTGAAAATTTTTATGATTTTTTCTAGAATTTTTCAATTTTTATGCATTTTAAAAAAAAAATTATGAGAAAATAGAGAGAATGCATTCGAATCGAAGCTACAAAAGTAGCTTCTTTTTCTTGCCAAAAATGCATTCCGGAATCAAAAATGCATTCCGAATCAAGAATGCATTCGAATCAACTATTTTTAACAAACGCATTTTTATTCCGAATGCAAAAATCGCTCCAACGCAATCCGTAAATTTTTTAACAAACGTCATTGTTTCGAATGCATTAGAACAATTTTTATTCCGAATGCATTCCATGCTCACCCTTATGCTCTGGTTTTAAGGAAAGTTGAACTTTCAAACGAATTCGTCGGTTTCGGCGTCGGTAACATGTCTCCGATCCGAGAACGAAGAGCGGCGAAAACTTTTAGTTTCGCGTCGGTCGGGAAATAACCTCCCGTCCGGGTTTTCGATTGATGTCTTGTTCCTTATCTTAGCATAATCAATGAAGAAGCTTTCTAAGATGTACATGTTCAGAGCATATAGCACACTTACTAACCCCGCAATTTCCACCGAATAATATTTTCATAAACAAGCAGAAGCATAAATTATCCTGAAAAATTTTCTGGCTTCCATCGCCTCTGCAAGGTCTCCTTCGGCAGGCTATCACGGGCCAGAGGAATCAGATCCCAATCAGTCATTTCTCGTCTCCAAAACTTTTTCTCCACCTTAAAAAACAGAAAGAAACAAGAAGAAGAAAAGGCAAACACCCTCCAAAAATCTCCCATCATTTTCTTGCTATCTTCTGTGAGCATGAGCGTGTGAACGAGCGGTTCCAAAGGTTGACCCTTTTTGCTCTTAAACTGTGTCTCGGTCCCTCTGTCTCTCTGTCTCTCTGTTCGAGTCCTCTTCCCTTTTGCCCCGCTTTATAGGGGCAGAGAAATCATTGTTTCGCTCGTTGTCTCCTCCTCTCGAATGAATGGTTCGGCTGTTGAAACTCGGCCTCTTCACCTGATTGTCAAACTCGCTTCTGAAGTCTTTCCTTCCTTCTGTTCAGTAGCTTTCGTCTTTCTGTTGCTTATTTTCGCACAAAGCTCCCGCCTTGCTTTCTGGGTCATCCTCTTTCTGCTCGGAAATGCCGCCGGATTACTTCCCTCTGCGGTGGGAGAGCACCGGCGACCAGTGGTGGTACGCGTCGCCCATCGACTGGGCGGCGGCGAACGGCCTCTATGACGTGGTCAGGGAGCTGCTCCACCTGGACCCCAACCTCCTCATCAAGCTCACCTCCCTACGCCGCATCCGCCGCCTCGAGACCGTGTGGGACGATGACACGGCGGGGCAGTTCGACGACGTGGCCCGGTGCCGCGCCGCCGTGGCGCGCAGGCTCCTCCTCGACTGTGAGCCGCGGAAAGGCAAGGGCGAGAACTCGCTTGTCCGCGCCGGCTACGGCGGGTGGCTCGTGTACACGGCCGCCTCGGCGGGCGACCTCGAGTTCGTGAAGGAGCTGTTGGAGAGAGACCCTTTTCTGGTGTTTGGAGAGGGAGAGTATGGGGTGAGTGATGTGTTGTATGCTGCTGCTAGGAGCAAGAATTGTGGGGTTTTCAGGTGCTTGCTCGAATCTGCGGTTTCACCGAAGAACGGTTTGAGTGTTGGTGAAGTTGATGGGGACAGAGGTTTTAGGTGGGAGATTATGAACAGAGCTGTTCATGCAGCTGCAAGAGGAGGGAATGTGGAGATTCTGAGGGAGCTGATTGAGGGTTGCTCTGATGTTTTGGTGTACAGAGATTCGCAGGGCTCTACTGTGTTGCATAGTGCATCTGGAAGAGGGCAAGTTGAGGTTAGGATTTTTCTTTTTCTTTCCTTTTCTTTTTATTTTTTTGGGATTTCTTTGTTTTCTGTACCGCATTTGAAGATTTTCATTTCACGCTTTGGCTGGTATATGAATTAGTCATCGGATTGTGAGATTGATAATGATGGTAGTTCATAGTTTGATGACTTGCAAGAGTGTGGCTATAAGAGGAGATCGTTATGTCTTCTTGGCGAATTTGGTCACTGATAAAGTTGGGAGTTCGGTTGGTTGTGTAATTTGAAGTTTTTGAATAGGGAGGGGGTTGAGGGCTGTCTCAAATTGCACTGGAAGTGCTTCTGTATTTGTTGCTTTATGGATGGCTTAAGCTGCATACATTGTGTTCTGTTTTGCATAGCAAAAAACCACTTGTTTCCAAAGACCTGGTTAGCTTCATGCACATCTCTATATGCTTGATGACAAGCGATTTGATGCTCGGACGGTATGTGCTAATTTAAGAATTCCACCTTGAAAAATGCATTTGGGATGCTTTTTCTGCGTGACATTTTGAAGCCACCCAAAGCAGACGCCCTATGATACTGCGGTTTTATAGTCTTTATTCCACATGTTAAATTCCTTTGGTGTTGATATGTGAAATGTGAGAATGGTCCCTAACGACTTTTTTTGGTAATCGTAAGAAACGCGATGCTCATTGACTAGTCAATCAGAGCATTTCTGAGAGACACACCCAGCACCTCGACTATCAATGAGTGCATCGGTATTGTGCGTTTTGAAGATTTCAGTCTTTACGGCATATAACTGGGGTATCAGAATGATCAATGAGGCCATGTCTAGACCTGCTGTCGTGACTCGTCAATCTTGTGTTTCCTGTTTTTCTTTGAAAGTGTGTAACTGTAGTGTGTGATGTGTTTTTTTTTTAAAACTAGGACAAATAAATTTCTTTCATTTGCTGGTTTACCAACCCTCTCATGGTGATGAAATCCCGAGCATTCAATCACGGATGCCCACATCGCCACAGGTTTTATTTGGAACTACCTTTATGAACACTTATGCGTGTTTTTGCCCGCTGCAGGTTGTTAAGGATCTAATAGCATCCTATGATATCATTAGCTCTACAGATAATCATGGCAACACAGCGTTACATGTGGCTGCTTACCGGGGTCATTTAAGTGTTGTAGAGGTCCTCATTCTCGCATCTCCCTCTCTAGCCTCGGTGACAAACAGCTATGGCGATACTTTCCTTCATCTTGCTGTGGCAGGTTTCCGCACTCCCGGATTCCGAAGAGTTGATCGTCAGGTCGAGCTTATGAAGCAGTTGTTATGTGGAAAGATCATAAATATCGAGGACATCATCAATGTGAGGAACAGCGATGGAAGGACTGCCCTTCACATGGCTGTAGCCGAGAATATCCAGACGAGTCTCGTGGAACTGCTGGTGACTGTTCGGTCAATTAATTTGAATGTCTGTGATTCTAATGGAATGACTCCACTAGATCTTCTCAAGCAACGGCCCAAATCAACATCTTCTGACATTCTGATAAAGCAGTTGATTTCTGCCGGGGGGATCACCAATTGTCAAGACCGCAAAGTTAGAAATATGCTCGCTTCTCATCTTAGAGAGCAGGGCGTTGTGCGTAGCCCGGGAACATCATTCAGGATTCCCGACGGAGAGATCCTTTTGTATGCTGGGGTCGATAGTGCATGTGGGTCCCGTTTCAATTCGGGCCTTCTGGAGTACGCTAGCTGCTTGAGTGAAATAAGTGACGTAGATTCTGGTAACTTGTCTGAAAATAAGATGGGAAGTTCAATCAATCGTAGTGCGAGACGCCTGAAGTTTCTCTTCGGTTGGGCCGGAAGGAAAGAAAGAAATGCCATTAAGGTGGGGTTTAGAGATGACAATGACAGCGATTCTCTTGAGTCTGTCAAAATAAGTGGCAGTTTCAAGGATCATCGAATCTCACTCAGGCAACGGTATTCGAAACAAGCATCCCTTCCAAACAATAAGAGGACTTACTCTTTGGGGACTGATTTTCCAAGTCCTTCCACGAGAAAGAAGTATACCACGGGCCTTATGCATGGTGTGCTTCAGGCGAAGCCACAATTTTTGCAAGCTGATTCCTGTCCAAGTTCTTATTCGGGGTCATCCATATCTTCACCTATATCACTCGACGGGAGACAGAACATTGATGTCTTGAGAGCCTCTGGGTCAATTAAACCCTTGAATAACGGCAGAAGCCTAGGGAGGGACCAGAAAAAGACCTCGTTCAACAGGAGGCTGATGAATCAGTACTTCTGCTTCGGTGCACAACGTTTAGCCACTGAAGATTCTATCGAGTCTGCGCCGGAATATCGAGCGTACGAGCAAGCCTTAATGGTATGATCTTGCTTCCAAGGAAGAGTACGGTAATAGTGGGTTTTCCTCGGTTAGACTAGATATTCTGAGAGATCACGATATATTGTTGATTCCTTAACCTTTCTTTGTAATAATAAACATAAAGCTCTCAGAAGTTTTTCAGCACAGTAAAACAGATGTGGTAACGTTCCAATGTTGGTTGTATAAATAATGTTATGAAGAGCAAGATTCTGAACAAGTATGTAAATTGTATATGCAGTAATCTCTGTATGGAGTGCGCTTTGATGGAGAAACTTTGAACAGGTTTGTTCTTAGGTCATGTAAGTTGCATGGACCCAAGATTGTGGAGTGATGATCGACGTATCCTTCACTCGTGGAAGTGCTCGTTTTAGGCAAACAGCCCATGTTATCTGTAGTTTTAGCCGAAAATGACGATTAGATTAGCAGACCGGCAGGGACAAGGCACGTGTCATTGAGCGCAGTTAGGTTGGTCTCGACATATATCAAAAAATGGCGTGGCAAAACAAAGTTCGTCTCAAAAGACATGCACTTGATTTGGTATTATCTCTAATCTTCCCATACGATCACATGTTTTGGTCGATAGGTAAATACCCTTCCTTTGTTATGATTCCAGCAGAGTCAGGGTACGAATAAATTCAAAGTGAGCTTGCGACTTGCTTAAAGATGTCTGCCCGATAATTCGACGTGCATAACAAGATTCACGAAATGCTCCTAAGTTTTAGCTACGGGATTGCCTGCCCTCAATTGAAATAAAATTTGAAAAAAACAAAGGTCAAGTGGTAATTCAACAAGAAGCGCACCTAAAGGTCGAATTGGTGGTTGTAAGAATCTTCAGGTTTCAGTTGAGGAGTGTTACAGAGAGAAAACAGCCGAGACCAGCGCCATGGTATATTCTTAGTAAAAGAGAGTGCTAAATATGGCTTCTCTTGATTCCAGGGGTGATCTCTCTCTCTCTAGCTATAAATCACTCATCTTCATGCAACAAGAACTCATCATTCTGTGGTTTTGGGTCCGGGGAAGCTTGACGAGCGCCTGCATTTCCCTAGCAATGGCCCAAGATCGGCCACAGAATGACGAGATCGATGAGAAGTCGATCAACAATTGGCTTCCGATCACATCCTCCAGGAATGCTAAGTGGTGGTACTCAGCCTTCCACAATGTCACCGCGATGGTTGGTGCCGGCGTCCTCAGCTTGCCTTATTCCATGGCTGAGCTTGGATGGTAATTTAACGCGTCCCATCAATTCTTCAGTTTCAATTTCTTCGTTTCGACCATACCATAATTTTTGCACCTTAAAGCCCACTAGGCGAAACTTTTCATTACTATATGTTTTACATGATGTTTGTATCCTTTTCTTTCGCCTTTGCTGTTTACATCACTTCTCTCGCATTAATGCTTCAAAGGCAGCTTTTGACCTGAAAAATCTTCAGGATCCTAGCTGCGGGATGTGATTCTTTACACAGTTTTCAGTTCATCAGCTTGAACCTCAATTTCCAGTGAGCATAAGAAAACACAATTATGATCCACAAGGATATCAGAAAACCAATGTGAACTCTCAGAAGTTTCATTTCATATTTGGCAGAGAAATTTCAAAACTTCTGTTTCTATCTTAAAAGAGTTCGAAAAACCTCAAGAAATCCTAGGGAACAGAGAGCGGAACAAAGTAATTCATTGACAAATTTCTCCATCTCTCTTTTCAATCTTTTTAGAACGCGGATATCCTAACCTTTCCTGCTCAACTGATCCCCACCGACGAAAGCAAACTGCGCCAAACAATGATATAGTTTTACATCTAGATTTTAATGTCTTGACATTGTCCTTTTCCCGTTTTCTTTTTCCGGACACTGGATGGATGTCATTGCAGGGGACCCGGTGTGACTGTGCTCATCATATCATGGGTCGTCACCCTGTACACGCTGTGGCAGATGGTGGAGATGCACGAGATGGTGCCAGGGAAGAGGTTTGACCGGTACCACGAGCTGGGCCAACACGCCTTTGGCGAGAAGCTGGGCCTGTGGATTGTGGTCCCCCAGCAGCTGGTTGTTGAGGTTGGGGTCGACATCGTGTACATGATCACCGGAGGCAAGTCCATCAAGAAGATCCACGAATTGCTCTGCAGCGATTGCCAGCCCATCAGGACCTCCTACTTCATCATGATCTTTGCCTCCGTCCACTTTGTCCTCTCCCACCTCCCCAACTTCAACTCCATCTCTGTTGTCTCCTTGGCTGCTGCAGTCATGTCCCTCAGGTAAGGGATTAACAAGATAGTCTATTTGTTCATGAGAAACCTTGAACTTCTGAGAGCGAGCCATATCGGCTTTAGCTTGTGCATTAAGAAAGGATCGAGGTACGCTTGATCCTGAGACCGCCTTGGAGGATTACACAATGGCCCGACTATAGACCTGACCATAGTTTGGACGGCTCAGGAGACATGGTAGGCTCGCTTCTGTCTATGTTCGCTTAATGAAGCCAAGCGGTACATAGGCCAACGACAGAAAAAAATGCAGACGCAAGCGAGCTTGACCTTTCCCTTTGGCTAGATCGTTTCAATCTCAAACTTTCTTGTTTTTTTACGTCATGCTACTTTGATGTATCATAGGGTTTTTAACATATTTTCATATGTCTGGTATCTACATCAACCCCGCGGTTGGTGTTGGTCCTGCAATTTTAAGGGCAGGCCTTCATCTTTCTTTCTTTTTTGTGTGCACACAGCTATTCCACCATTGCCTGGACAGCATCTCTGCACAAGGGAGTGCAACCAGATGTGGACTATTCGTACAAGGGCAAAGACACACAAACCGTAGTGTTCAACTTCTTCAGCGCGCTGGGCGATGTGGCCTTCGCTTATGCCGGCCACAACGTGGTGCTGGAGATCCAGGCCACCATTCCCTCCAGCCCAGAGAAGCCCTCGAAGAAGCCCATGTGGAGAGGCGTGTTGGTCGCGTACGTCATCGTGGCCATCTGCTACTTCCCTGTGGCCCTCGTCGGCTACTACGTGTTTGGCAACACCGTGGATGACAACATCCTCATCACTCTCCAAAAGCCCAAGTGGATCATAGCTGCTGCTAACTTGTTTGTGGTCATCCATGTCATTGGTAGCTACCAGGTGAGGGGGAAAAAACAAGAAGAAAGACTTATGATTTGCTTCTGCTTTTTGTCCTGTTGAAAAGTTTTGTGCTGTGCTGAGAACTGTTTTCCTTACACTTCGCAATGCTTTGTGGGCACAGATCTACGCGATGCCGGTTTTTGACATGATGGAGACTGTTCTCGTCAGGAAATTGCGCTTCAAGCCTTGCTTCACTCTCCGTTTCGTCACGCGTACAGTCTATGTCGGTGAGTGATTTGAAAAGCTTACCGGTTCTTGATGCATGGAAGTTCTGAATCTGAAGCTAAACTACGGACTTAAGTGGGTGTTTCCCTGCAAAAGTTAAGAGCTGTTTTTCTCCAATGCAATTGATTGTCTTTTCTGGTCTTCCTTGCTCAGCTTTCACAATGGTCGTCGCTATCTGCATCCCCTTCTTCGGTAGTCTCCTCGGGTTCTTTGGAGGGTTTGCTCTCGCTCCAACAACGTACTTCGTAAGTGAAAGCGAAATTGCTTCATTCATTACCTACCGCTCACTTGAAAATTTAGCAAATACATCAGAAATTTGATATCATCATTCCAATTTCTACAGCTTCCATGCATCATGTGGCTTTGTATCAACAAACCGAGGAAATTCAGCTTATCATGGTGTACCAACTGGGTATGCACTAGCTCTTATGGATACACATTCACGAACTTTGACCACAAAATCTTGGTTGTTTTACTGATTTAGCTTGATCTTTTATGCATTTCAGATTTGCATCATACTCGGTGTAATGCTGGTGATTCTCGGACCAATTGGTGGCCTAAGGCAGATCATCCTTTCATCAAAAAATTACAAGTTCTTCTCGTAAAGTCTTTCGCCCTAAAGAGGAGGATTGACTAACCTTGACGATTATCAGGACATAATGATGTCAATTACACGATGGTTGAGGATTAGTTTGTGACAGTGTCTTTGTTTATATATGTTGACGTCTGTATAATCATCTGGCTCGATTTGGGAGGATCGTGTTCTAGTTATGACAAGTCTGTGTAAATAAGGTCAAAGCATGCATTTGACTTAGCTATTATGGAAAACAAGGACGTTTAGAGCAAGCATGTATGTCTCCATGTTTCAAATCCAACTATTTCTCCAGACACCAAATTCGTAAGAATGCTCACAAAGTTTTCCAAAGCAGCATTAATCTCTGTGGTGTACAGCAGTTGAACGTCCGAAGGAATTTGTATTCTACAAAAGGCTGTGAAAGAAATTGGCAGATGGCTGTACTTCAATCCAGATTTGGAGGGGAGATCTGGAGCTGAAGGAGAAGATGAACAGTATTTCTAGAACTAGTGAATTCAAGACTGCAAATCACGACTTCCTGATTAAGCAAAAAATGACCATACAGTTGGTATTTCATGATCATGTCAAACATGACAAATGACTCTCTGTGATCAACTGCAGCCTATAATCTCAGAACTTGCCTAAAAAATATCATTACTGTCCATCCTCAGCAAAATAAGTGTTCAACATTGGTTTTAAATGTCATACCACTAGTCTCTTGTGAATTACTGCCCCATAGGCTAAGCTCTGCAGTTGGAAGTTCTATTCAGGCTTCAATAAAGCAGTTATAATACTCTACATGACCATTCCACCATCTATGGTTGTGACCGGCATAGTGACATCCGGTTGGCAAGCGAACCAAAGATAAAACACCGTGTGAAGGGAGAGGTAAAGGAAAAAGGCAGGAACAGCAATTCTTTGACCAGTCCCATAATGTAGCTGGCTGCAGGGTTGACGGCCAGAAATCCACCAGCCAGCAACTTCTTCTGACTGTCCACACCTTCCTGAACTCATAAAGATAACTAACATCAGTACAGAAGTCCCACACACTCTTTGACGGAATAAATTTGAAGGGCTATTCTTACTTATGACTACACAGCACAGGCACGAGGATTCTTATTCGAAGTTCCATCAGGGGATATGAATTCTCTCAATCCCTCCCCAACCCTAAAGCCACCTGAACTTTCCTGAGTATATAGTGAATACCTTCTTAACCAAGTATCATACAAAATTCATACTCCAGCATAAATGTTATGTGATCTCCTGTATATGTCCTCAACAGTGACAGGACTGGAACTCCCCTAGATCAGCAATTCCTTGGTGAAATACCACTGACACATTCCAGGCAGCCACTCCTTGCATATATCACCTAAGGGAACTGTCTCCAAGATTTTCTTTTCGACTTCTTCCCCGAGTTTGGCAGTCATATCAGACGCAATGAACCCTGGTGCAATAGCATTAGCCTCTGGGGGAAACAATGTTGATAGAAGAAAGCCGACTGCAGTTTTTGATACGGTCGAACAAGGGGGAAAAACTGACTACATTCTTAATAAGACGAGAGAATAAACAATGACAAGATGTGAAAAGCTTACATTGATGTTTCGGCTTGCATATTCTTTTGCTACAGTCTTTGTGAGGCCAAGAACTATTGCACCGTACAAAATGCCATTCCTCTAAATGCCTGAAGCTTCGCAGTCTGCATTGTACGTTATATGACTCCCACAACAAGAGCTCCATACACTGCGGCAACTCTTTTCCTCCTCATGAGGAAGGCATTTCCGAAAAGAGAAGAAATACCCACGAAGCAGAAACTAAGCAATTACCAGTCAAAAGAAACGGCGTATGCAAGCGCCGCAAGTGCGAAAAGGGAAAGAATCGATTACCAGCAACCGAGCTTCCGCTTTGGCGCCGAAGGGATAGGCAGGTTCCGGAGCCGACTCGATGGGAATCCGCCAAGAATCGGGCTCAAATTCTGCCGCAAAAACCCGAGCCTCCTGGACATTGCGAACTCTCCAAACCGGCTTCACGATCCGGCCTGAGCTGAGGGCAGCAGCGCTCGGTCCGGCGACGGTGGCCATCAAGAGATCCAGCAAGAGCTCGCGGCTTCGGAATCGAACACGGAGGAGAAGGAGAAGAAGAGAGCGAAGACGGAAACTAAAACGGTTAGGACAAAGAAGATGCAGCTGTTGAGCCGTCGGAGGTCGGGATCGTGTCGATATCGGCAATGGAAAACGAAGTCGAGGTCGTTGGTTTGGTTCAAAGAGTTAGTTACGACGTTGGAGGTTCCTAACAATCGCACGCGCGTTACGCCTCCGACAACACTTTCAAGCAATCATTGGCAAAATAGAGACTTTACTTCAAAAGAAATAAGGATATAAAATGCTCATTTTTTTCTAGAGAGCTGCAAAGTTTTAATTTGAGCTAATATAAAAAAGATAATTTTTACCCATTAATAAAAGGGAAAATGACACAGAGTCCATGAAGTTTGGCCCAATATGCAATTTGATCCCTGAACTTTTAATTTGTTCAATGTGATCCCTAAACTTTAGCTTAATGTTCAATGTGGCCTCTGAACTTTTAATTTGTTTAATATGATCTATGGACTTTTGGTACATATTCAATATAATGCCTGAATTATATGAAAATGATTAATGCAATCCTTCCATTAATTCATGTTCAGGGACTACATTACCCTCCAAGGAGTTGGTGGAGTGGTAAGGGCTTTGGACTTGTGGGTGATTAATCTCAAGTTCGAGTTCCTCTGCCTTCCACCTTATTATATTCTTGACTTACGTGGAGGCTAATCTGTGGATTTGGTTAGTTCTCCTTCAGTTAGTGCCTGGCCAATCGGACTCTTGTAGTACGGCCGGTGCGGGAGTCTGGATCATCAAAAAAAAAAAAGTTCAGGGACTATATTGAACATTTTCATATGATTCAGGAAATAAATTGAACATGTACCAAAAATCCAGAGACCACATTGAACAAATTAAAAATTTAAAGGCCACATTAAACATTAGGCTAAAATTCAGAGACCGCATTAAATAAATTAAAAATTCATGAACCAAATTACACATTGATCCAAACTTCATGAACTATTTGTTATTTGAAACGAAAAGGGCTTTGGTTTGATATTTGAAACGAAGCCGGTTGTAAAATGATCCAAAAGGATAATTGGGAAATTTTGTTAGATTTGGTCCATTTGTGAGCACAGAACAGAACAGCACTATGACATGAGCAGCATATTTTCATTTGAGTAACTTCCAATTCGTGCATCAATTACTTTCTTTAAGAATGGCGGGCTCCTCATTTTCGCAGAGAATACACGATAGCATCAACTAAACAACGGTTAATTAGAACAAACGGAATTATCTCTGGAGCTGCTCTGCGAGCTTAATCAAGCTATACGTCTCAGCGTCCGGCCTCGCGCCTCCCAGGATCATTCTTCTCAGGAGGTTGGGATCACAAGCCTTGGCCTTCAGATAAGCCTTTATCAACGTGTTGTACACGAAGGTGTAGCGGGCATATCTCGCTTGAGCGAGTTCCTCGAAATACTTCTCTGCATTGACGACATCGCCCTTCTCCGCGAACATCTCAACTATAGATAGCGTGGTCTCCAACCACGGGGTGGATTTCCTGACCCTTGCGCTTGTTGTCGACCGTGAACCCATGTCCAGAGTCCTCAGGGCTTCGTTTACTAAATTCGCCTTCATACAACCTAATGCAAGATGACGGTAAGTAATGGCATTCGGCTTGCACCCGTTCGCGACCATCTCTTTGAATAGAGCAGAAGCTTTATTAATGGAACCATGCTTGCAATACACAGATATTAGTGAGTTGTATTGCTCTGTTGATTTCAACTCTTTCGTCGACTTCATCTCCAACCAGAGCTCCTCAGCTCGAGAAAGTTGTCCAATCCTACCAAATGCTTCAATAGCCAACATATAACTCTTTGACCTAACATGGGGAAGATCTTTCACAACACACCAAGTTCTTTCCAGCTCCTTATCCTTCCCAAGATATCCATACAATATGAGAAGGAGATCTAGCGTAGACCAGTTACTTCCAGTAGCAGACATCTCTATAGACTCAACATAGGCCTCCGCAGCAGTGTATAACCTCGCCACAGCATGTGCAACAGCTAGTATGCAGTAAGACACCTCGTTCGGCTCAACTTTCTTTCGATGCATCTCGCCGTATACCTTGACAAGACCTTCGATGTTATGTTCATTAGCCTCTATTTTCATGAGAATGTTATATGTTGACACATGAGGGCCCACCTTATCTGCCTTCATTTGAGTTAGGATCTTTGGGATCATTTTCCTACGGCTGGGGGAGGAATGGAGGACAATGAGGCGGTTGAAAACCAAGTGTGAGATAGCATAACCTAGCTCCCTCATTTTCTTCATGTACGTTAATGGGAGCCTTACAACACCTTTCTCTAAGCAGATAATCACAAAATTGTTGTAAACCAGCTCATTCTGAAACTCCATTGGAATTCGAGAGAAAAGACTCTCACCTCTTGATATCCCATGAAATCTTGTCGTGAATTCCAACAGATAGGAGTACTCCAGTTCCTTTGGCTTATACGGCCTCTCGCGAATAATCCATTCCATCATCTGTAAAATGCATTTAGCACAATAGTGATTTAAGCTTTCCATATTCAGGCTACCTCGGATCCAATTATGAGAGCATCTAGATAAGGGTGCAATGTTGCTGAAATTTTCTTTAACATGGTAAAAGAGAAGGAAAAAAAATTGAAAATCATTAACAAATTTATGCCTTTAATTTTACAGTTCAGCCCAAGAGAAGGAGAATGTATACCTAAAAGGATGCTACCGAACTGGTAAATCTTTATACAATATGATGTCTCCATTCATTTGGACCAACACAAGTTGACCTTGTAGCTTCTACACTCACTTTAAAGTTTTCTCAATATTTTCGCAAGAATCAATGATCGAGTGAATAAGAACCTTCTAGAGTCCGCTCATTTGATGTAAATAGCACATTTTGCCTTCAGCATCAAACTACCACCCATGAAAATAATATCAAGCAGAGAAGACATTCACCTCAAGAGCACGCTTGTTCATCTGCAACTTCCTCAAACGATTAATAGCATGATATATTTCCCCTCTATGAATGGGGAAACCGTCCCCCATCCAACTCTGGAATGCACATCCGACTGGCCGTCCTCTAGGCAGCTTCTCAATTCTATAAGAAAGGCATTCTGCTACCGGCAGGCTTCCTTTGGCAGACTTCTCAGTAGCTTCAGTGCCAAGGAAGCTGCAATAACTAAAAGGAACCTGAGTGAACAACGAAGATATACTGTGTGCTCGACGATGGATCGCCTGAATGCACCGGCTGCTTGGCCCAAAAGCCAGTGCTAGCATGAGTTTCAGGATTTTCTTGCTACAGTTGGCTGACAGTAAAGCAACCTTTTCTGCACCATATCCCTTGCAACTGGAGAGTTGAACTATGACTCGTGTGACAGACCAACTAGTTCTGTGGTTAAGTTCTGTTCCTGTAGCAGGAAAAGAATATACAATAATGAGAGCAAATATACATCTCTAACTTCAGTCAGGTTCTGAGTTCTTATATATCAGGATTCATAAACAATTATGTCCATCCATAGTTAATAAAACCCAAGAAAACTACATGTCAAAATCGGAGAGATGCATGCAAAATTTTATCTTATTTTAGCCTGATATGAAACAACACGAAGTTCCAGGCTGCAAATGATCCCAAGTCAGATGCCCGTGTATTCAACTTATCCTAAATAATTCGAAGTAAGATTTAGGGGGCCGGAGGGCGCGGGGTACGTGGAGGTAATATATGGGGTCAAAATTGAAATGCGGGTGAGGGAAAATTTTGAAATTTGGTCCGGCATTCGTCCCCCACCTCTCATTCCCTCCCTCCGCTCCCCCTCTTCCCAAACAAAGCATAAGCATAAATTTTTTTTCGTAAAACCCAACATGGACATCCTTATGTATTCAAAACCAAAACAGTCGGGTCCGGACTAGATACGATTCGAGTTCCTGGTAATCTACTTCCCCAACCTAAACTCTCCATAATTATGCGGGTCACATTAATAGGCCCAGACACGCTAATTTGGAAGGGAAAAGGTCACCAATTAGCAAAGAGCACGGCACTCAGACAAAGAGAGACTGAACTGTCTCTGGAGCATTTCGTCGAGCACCATCAATGCGGTCACGACCGAGAGAAGATGGTCCAACGACGGAAGAGTCACGCGCAACCACAACGTCACTGAAGCATTTCTGCAACAACAACACCGCCCCCGAATAACTACGGCATTACAGCTAACAGCAAAACCTTATGAACTCTTTAACGGAAAAAAACGAATTCGCAGAGGCTGTACCCCTAAGGCAAGCATTCGAGCACGCCCAATTCACTCCCGGAGATCCGTTCAATTCGCAACGGAACCGAAATCGCGAAGCGGAATCCGCCGAAACCCGCAGCGCGGCCGCCGCGTCGGAAGAGCCCGCGAAAACCCACGAAGGATTCCCAGCCGAAGCGGCCTCCGGACACCGGCTCCGAGCTAGCGGGGGAGCTCAACTAGGACCACGGGTCGCGCCCCCCAGTGCAAGATTTCAGGGCGCGCTGGAATGCCGAACGACGCTAGAATCGAGCAACACGATCGGCGAGCGTATCGGAGAGCAGAGAAGAAACCGACTCGCACGAAGAAGAGCCAGCGAACGGGAGTTGCGCAGTGACGTTCGTGCGAAGTGAGTAGCAGGGCACTGCTGGGCCCCTCTCGCGGTCGAGTCCGCAGCATTTACGGACACGGCCCTTCGAACGTGCTTCGTTCTCGAGAGAAAAGAACACCAGCAGCACGCGAACTTTGATATAACGTGCAACATGATCCTTAAATATTTAATTTATTTAATATAATTCATGAACTTTAACTTGATATATAATATGATCCGTAAAATTTTAATTTATTCAATATTATCCTTAAATTTTTTGTATATATTTAATTTAGTCCATACATTAAACATTTTTATATAGTGCATGGACTATATTGAAAATGTACCAAAAATTCAGAAACCGCATTAAAAATTCAGGCATTACACTAAACACTAAGCTAAAGTTCATGAACTACATTGAATAAATTAAAAGTACATTGAACATTGAGTCAAAATTCATGGATTATTTATGTCATTATCTCTTCTTGGGACGGTAACCTTTTATAGCATACTACCATTCTATAGGTTCTTTTTTCATCAAATTCTCTTTCTTTAGTCACTCACTATGCTCGTAGCTATTTGCACCCCCTCCTTCTCCTTGTAGTCTTCTCGAAATCTTTAGAGGGTTTGCGAGAAAGGCACGCTAGAAGTGCAATAACCTTCGTGCAACGTTCCCTTTGGTATCAAAACTTTTCGCCGGATCACTTAAGTTCCAAATTAAAGAAAAAATAATTACTTAAGTGCCTCCTGTGACAAATTCTGATAATTCATCCCGCATGGTTTTCTTTTTATGAAATCTTAATGTCTACGTGGCTTGTCTAACGAGGACGACGTGGCCTTAAAACTCATCCTCCTTCTCTCTTTTCTCCCTAATCCTAGGACAAAGATCGCTTGGCCTGAAACTCAAGCTCTCGGAAAGTCGAGATTCATCTTCAATGACACTGAAACCCACTTCAAATCGACTCCAAAAGCGGTTTCCTACCTCTCCAACTCCACCTTCTACAACAAGCGCAACTCATTCCCCTCCTCCCCCCCCCCCCCCCCAACCCCCTTCTCGAATTTCATCTCCTCCTATTCGCACCGCGGTTCGCCGCCATCATTGACGCCTCCTCCAGTCTCGACGTCCCCTTTCGCCAAGCTCGGCACTTCATTAACTCCCTCACCTCCCCGCCTCTTTGCCATGGGCATCCGCAAGGACAACGTCATCCTCCTCCTCTCCCCCAATTCCATCTCCTTCCCCGTCATCTACCTCGCCATCATGTCCCTCGGTGCCCTCGTCACAACCACCAATTAGTTGTCCCTGGTTTTCTCCTCTCTCTCTCTCTCTCTCTCTCTCTCTAGGTCTTACTCCTCTTTTATATGTACATATGTATAGGCTATTCACGGTGATTGAATCCGAAACTTGATACTTCTCCAATCCCTTTATCAGTAGGGCCGCATGCTTATTGCCCCTTGGTTCTCTTATCTGAACATATTCTTGCTCTATTTCTTTTCCCCAGCATCTAAACCTTCATAATGGCTCTTTGTTACTATCCATCGTCAAAATTCCACTATAAAAATTGCAATTCCGGCGAGACAAAATCACACAGGTGAAGTAGCAGACCTCTATTGCAAGTTTCAGTCACTAATTTTGCCCCAAATCTACGGTCGTGAGGTTAGAGATTGAGAAATAGGCTGAATTTTTCCCCAAATCATTGATTGTGAGATTAGGGTTTGAAGAAGTGGTTGAATTTGGGGCAAGCGTGTGTTAGGGCTATTAATTCTGATTGGACATGTCAGCGAGCCGGGTTGATCGGAAGAAATGTTAGAATATTGTCATGTTGGATTTCAGCATTTCAAATCAGAGTTGACACTTAATTGATTATTTTTTTAAAAAAGTGGTTAAGTGATCTGACGAAAAATTTTGGCACTAAAGTGAATACTTTACCGAAGTTATGGCACTTCCAATGTCCCTTTCCCGAGGGTTTGCTCTCGCTCCAATAATATACTTCGTAAGCGAGAGTGTTTATACTAAAAAATGACCAACTTTTGATTATTATCAATAAGTGATAGACTTAGTTGATGAGAGCAGAGCTTAGTCATTTATAAATAGAAAAAATTATCAATAAACTTGAAGGGAATTGGTAACTTGCTAATGAAGTCATTGACAACACAACGTAAAGTTATTGACGAGAGTCCTAAAATATCTCAACAAAGTCATCAATATCGACATGTAGCAATCGACACGAAGATAACCATTGGTTGGTTATGTTATACCCGTTCAGGAAGTAAGTTCTAGTAACCACCGAAAGGGAGTTACTTGGTCTTTCACATTTAGTAACCGCCATGTATAACCGTCGTTTGTAAGGGTTATAAATACTCCAAGTGATCTGAATCAATTACAGAATTGGAGGATCTTTATTTTTATCTTTACTTTCCACAATTTATCTTTTTCGTATCTTTCAATTCCCATACTTTAGTCATAATTTCAGGTATTTTGTTGTCGATTAAATTATGATGTTGTATTATCATTATACTTTGTCATCAATTAAATTTCGACAAAGTGTTTTGTATTTCATCACCGATTATATTCATACGAAGCATATCCGTTCCTCGTGATTCATTGAGACTCCTGTCTAGAATCATCATGAGATCTGTCTCCGCAGAATAAAATCGAAGAATCAATTTTGATGAAAGATATTTCGTCCATTGAGACACATTTTGGCGAAAGAGAGCAAAAATGCTTTATCGCGTTACCTATCACTCTCTTGACAAATACAACAGAAAGTTCATTTATCTTTCCAATTTCTACAGCTCCGGCGCATCACGTGGCTTTGAAACTACAAACCTAGGAGATTCAGCTCATCATGGTGTACCCACTGGGTCTGCACCAATTTTTATGGATACATAACCACCTACTTCCACAGCAAAATCTTGGTTGTTTTACTGATTTAGCTTCGTCTGTTATGCCAATCAGATCAGCATCATACTCGGTGTCGTGCTGCTGATTCTCCGACCAAAGGGTGGCCTAAGACAGATTATCCTTTCATCAAAAGAGTACAAGTTCTTCTCGTAAAGGCTTTCGCCCTAAAGAGGAGGATAGACTAGCCATGAGGATTATCATGGCATGATGACGACAATGTAGACGGTTGTTGAGAATGACCAGTTCATGGAGGAATAGATTATGACTGTCTTTGGTCGTGTGTCGACGTTGTTATAATCTTCTGGCTTGATTTGGTAGGATCAAGCTCTTGTCTCGACAAGTATAGGTGTACATAAAGTCAAATCACACCTTTCGATTTAGCTTATCACGAAAACAGGGACATCTACCGAGCATGTATGTCGCCATGTTTCAGATCCAATGATTTCTCCAACTCCAAATTATTCATAAGAATGCTCGCAAAGTTTTCTAAAGCAGCATTAATCTCTGTGGTGTCCAGCAGTTGATTGTACGTAAAAAATTTGAATTCTTCGCACAGACTATGAAAGAATTTCGCAGATGGATTTACTTCCGTCCTAATTTGGACTAGAAGCAGAAGATGAATAAACAGCCTATGAAAGAAATTGGCAGATGGATTTACTTCCGTCCTAATTTGGACTTGAAGCAGAAGATGAATAAACAGCCCACGAAAGAAATTGGCAGATGGATTTACTTCCATCCCAATTTGGAGATGAATTTATATCCTTGAACTAGTGAATCAACACTGCAAATCGCAATTTCCTGATCGAGCCAATAATAACCATACGATGGTATTTCATGAACAAGTATGTCAAACATGAGGGATGATTCTGTGTGATCAATTGCAGCTGATAATCTCAAAACTTGCCTCAAAAACCTCTTATTGTCCATCCTAAGCAAAATAAGTTTTCAACATGGGCTCTATTGTCATACCACCCTGCGGCGTAGGCTAAGCTCTGCAATTGGAAGTTCTATTCAGGTTTCAACAAAGCAGGTACAATACTCTACATGACCATTCCACCATCTATCGTGAAGACCTGCATAGTAACATCAAGTTATTAAGCAAACCAAAGATGAAACACCGTGATGAGGGGGGAAAAAGGTAAAACAGCGGGAACAGCAATTCTTTTACCTGTCCCGTAATGTAGCTGGCTGCAGGGTTGATGGCCAGAAATTCCACTAGTCCAGCAACTTCTTCTGGTTTTCCATACCTTCCTGAACTCATAAAGATGACTAACATCAGAACAGAAGTCTCACATGCTCTTTGATGAAATAAATTTTGAAGGGCTACTCTTAGTTAAGACAACACAGCACGGCTACGAGGTCTATTCTTCTTATTAGACGTTCCATCAGGCGCCATCGATACTCTCAATCGCTCTCCAACCCTAAAGCCACCAAAACTCTCCTAAGTGTAACAAGCATCTTCCTAAGTATCAAATACAAGTCATACTTCAGCATCACTGTCATTAAATCTCATGTAATGTCCTCAGAAACAGTGGACTGGAAAATCCCTAAATCAGCAATTCTTTGGTGAAATACCACAAAGATATTACAGGCAGCCACTGCTTGCATATCTCACCTAATGGAATTGTCTCCAAGATTTTCTTTTCAACTTCTTCCCCAAGTTTGGCAGTCATATCAGATGCAATGAACCCTGGAGCAATAGCATTAACCTGGGGAAATAATGTTGTTAGAAGTGAGCCAACTGCAGTTTTCAATCGGTCAAACAAGGGGAAAAACTGACTACATTCTTAATAAGACATAGAATAAACAATGACAAGATGTCAAAAGCTTACATTGACATTTCGGCTTGCATATTCTTTTGCTACAGTCTTTGTTAGGCCAATAACCCCCGCTTTTGCAGCACTGTAGTTGGCCTGCCCGGCATTACCCACAAGGCCAACAACTGATGCAATGTTTACTATTCTTCCCTGCAAATTCGGCCTCCATTTAAATGTGATTGGACCATATACTGAACGTCATAATTCCACTTGGAGGCGTCATACTAATGAATAAGAATATCAAACTCAGCCAGTAGGCTGCCTTTTTTTCAAGGGCAGAAGCTCCGTAATCACAAATGAAAAGTCAGGATAGGAATGTTTTGCTACCTTTCTCTTCTTCATCATAATTTTAGCTACTGCCTGAAAAAAAAGTCTTAATTTTTGTAAGTGACCAAAAAAACCATTTATATGATAAAGTAAATCCGACAAGTTCACAAACCTGAGTGCAGAGGAAAACACCAGTCAGATTCAAATCAATGACCTCCTGCCATTGGGCTTTCTTCATTCTCATCAATAACCCATCACGAGTGATCCCTGCAACCACGGCTGCTACTTTATTTCGAATATGAGACATAGAACTCACTGCTTCTCTACTCATAATATGGTAAAAAATTTCTTCTCTGTAGTGACGTTCTCCAAATTCGAATTGCCATAGTAAATTCGAATAGAAGAACTTCTAATTACTAGAATGTTTAAAGTGTGACAAGTAGCTTAACACCACCATAAAATAAAGTAAAAAGTGAAACAAGCAGGTAATAGCAAGAGGCGTTCATGCTTTACCCGCATTGTTTATCAATACATCCACAGTTCCCCATGCATCCACTGCCTGCACATAAGAATCGCAAAGCATAAAAAAAGGTTCGCCAACATGTTGCCATCATTCAGAAATTTTACTTACAGTCTTAATCATAGCTTCGACATCAGCCTCTTTTGAAACATCCCCACCAAAAGTAAGAGCTTGACCACCACATGCCTCTATCTGGAAGAAAAGATTGACCAGTGTTGATCAGCTTAATCTAGCCAGCTAGGGATAGAGAGAGTACTTGCAAAAGATACGATACTAAAAGACAGCTTTGAATAGCAATTCTTTCGAACTCCACCAGATAGATATGAGCACCACATGGTAAAGGAGGAGGCAGAGTAGAGAAGATTTTGGTAAGCTTAATACCTCTTTGACCACTTCATCGGCTTCCTTTGATGATCTGGCATAATTTACTAGGACCTGCGATGGCACAAGGAATAACAACAATGGCATGACGGATGGGTTACTAAGGGTGAATAAAATACAGTTAAAATTACTTTGTCAGAATTATGCATGGCTTAATGCATGTGAAGTTTCAGAAAACTCAAAAAAAATTAACAAGTAATAAATGTCAGCTTTTGTACAAAACGCAAGTGGCAGAGTTTCTTTCATTTATTTCATGATCCAACATTTTGAGTTCCCGAGTTTAAGTAAGTCACATCAATTAGATAGCTATATAATACTATCAACCACGTCCATGTCTTTTTACATTTCTTGGAAATATCTTTCTTTCAACTTGTGGAAATTGAACGAAAAATTAGAATGTGGATATTCTGAACCAAAAATACGAGACAGAAGTGCATCTTCAAATGCACGCAAGGAGGAATGGCACGTGTGCATGCACACACCCAAACGCATACACAATTATGGTCTGGTATGAAGATATACTGTATCTTGAGAACCAACGTATGCAATCCCTTGAATTATTTCAGAATGGCTCACTAAATAAGGGAGACCGTTTACCCATATCACCATAGCCACTGTGCCAAAAGAAAGCAACAGATGTGCGTAGGAATATACATCATTCATTTGCAGAGCAGAACACTCATAACGCGGGCAAAGTACTAAGTCGCTAATAGTCAAAGCTTGCGGATTGAGAAGATCACACCGACCTTGCAACCTGCTTTACCCAGTAATAACGCAACGGCTTTACCAATACCCCTGGAGGCTCCAGTAACAATCACGACAGGCGATTCCACGCTTTGAGCACCTTCTGTGCTCACTTTTTCAACAGTGGCAACCTGAGCTCTTACACCTGCATGAACAATCAATAACCCGCGTGGTTAATGATAGATTTATCCAGCACTAGAAGCCAGAGATATATGGCCCATGTTTCCTGTACAACAAAGCCAAACCAGAATAGATCACCACTTCCCTGAGGGCTAACTTGCATGAATGCAATTACTACGCGAAGCTTGTGTTCCCTTAGCCTCACACTCACAAATTAAGGAAAAGAATATCTTGTCATTGCTAATCCTTTCCATGGAAAAACACAAATTACTCATCCCATTTTGTAACTACTCCTCATAATTTCCCACTCGTCAGCATCCCAATCATTCAACTGTATTAAAATTCCCACTCGCCAGCATCCCAATCATTCAACTGTATCAAAACTCGGAAACGAAAAACCCGCAAACATCTTCCCCGATCCAATTGTTCCGGCACCTGCACTCCACACATCCTGGGCACTCCACATAAACGCAAGACTCGAAGGACTGCCAAGACACGGAAGCACGTAACACAATGCCGCGACTCTACATGCCCGAAACTCAGCAGGACCAGCGAAAACGTAGCAAACGCATCGCACGAAGGCAAAAAACCGAAAGAATCGACTACCGGCAATCGAGCTTCCGCTTCGGCACCGAAGAGACGGCAGGTTCCGGAGCTGGCTCCATCGGGCTCCGCCGAGAACCGGCTTCACAAACCCGAGCCTCCGACCGTCAGAACTCCCGGGCCGGCAGGCGACGCGGCCTGAGGCGAGGGCGGCGGCGGCGGCGACGCTCGATGCGGCGGCGGCGGCCATCGGAGATCCGGCGAGAGCTCGCGGCGCCCGAACCGAATGCGAAGGAGAAGGAGGAGGAGATGAAGGGAGCAGCGAAGCCGGGAATGAGACGATGGTCGGGGACAAGAGCAATTTGCAGAGCTATAATAAATGCGAGGGGGGGAGAGCCTCGGGAGGTCCGGATTGCCGCCGAGAGCGGCGATGGAAACGAAGTTTGGGGTCGTTACTTCAAAGGAGGGTGGTTATGACCGACGTTGGAGAAATTAAAATGGCAATTGCGAGTCCATCAAGATTCCAACGACGCTCGCTATCGACCAATTTTTATATATTGGCAAAACACAAAATTCACACCCACCGGTTTATTTCACGAAATATTATATAAATTAGATCCGTCGAACTATTACTATTATTAGGTGTGATTGATTTCCGGTTTGGTCCGATTCTACCTAAGAACTGGGAACCGGACCGGTGAATCTACCAAATGGACCGAACGTTGATGAAGATGCTCAAGTACACTGAGATCTCTTTCGACCTTGCATTTGCACAATTGTATGATGCAGCAATGCCCACAGATATTTCTAAAACTTCTGATGTTATCGACAAACATCAAGAATGCCCGGACTAAGTTGGAGCAGCAAACAACCTTATGAGCTAACATAGATTAAAAAAATTGCTCAAGGTAATAAACAATTAAACAGAACGGGCATTCAAATGTTATATATAGCTTATATAGGTTAGTTCGGTCGGTCCGGTTCCAATCCTAGAACCGGGAACTGGACCAACCAGCTAGTTCGTTCGGGCAATTCTCAGCTCGGGTGGTCCGTTTTGCACACACCTAACTATTATATAAAGTAAATCCGTAAAACGGGTGGGTCAGGTCGGATAAAAAATGATCCAACCTAAATTGACCCGTTTTCATAAAATATATACCTAGTGACCCATACTTACCTGACCCGATCACGTATTACTAAAATAGTTCCATATTTAACACAATTTAGAAAAACTCATACACAAATTGAGGCGAGAGAACGACGTGGGGGCGAGAAAGAGGAAAAAATTATCCAAAAAATCATAAACTTATTATACATTTGCCAATTTAGTCCTCAAAATTTCAATTGTATCAATTTAGTCATGAACATTTTGACAATTTGTCAATCTAGTGCTAAACATTTTATTTGAACCTTTTGAAAGATTTGTCAATTTAGTTCTAACCCTTTAAACGACTGGCCAATCTAATCTTTCCTACCAATTTTGGCCGGAAATCACTGATATAGACGTCGGCATCCTACGTGACATGACCAACACTGACACGAACAATTTTTTTTTTTTCCTTTTCTTCCTCTTTGGACTATGTTTGTGCTCAGCCATGGTTAGCAATTGACCACAAGTGAGAGCCGCGCAAGGGTCAACGCTAGTCACCCCACATAGGATGGTGGCCAGCGGCAACCAATGTACAAGTCAGTAATTTTCGGCCAAAATTTATCGGAATGACTAAATTGGCAAGTCATCATTTAAGACTAAATTAGCAAATCTTCAAATTGTTTAGGGCTAAATTGACAAGTTGTCAAAAGATTTTGGACTAAATTGATACAATTGAAATGTTTATAACTGCATTGGACGCTTAAAACTTTTTGGACAAGTATAGGTCGATTGGGTTTAAGTATATTATGAACCCATTTAACATCTATATTATTTTGGGCTTTACATATAACAATATAGCCCGTCAAATATGGGTAAAGAATTGGGTTTATGGTCAATTTTGATAGGTCTAATATAAAGGAATGATTGAAGCTAATAGTAACGTGACAAATGATAATTCAAATTTGAAATTCTATTAAAGGGAATGAAGACATTACAACAATTTTAAAAAAGTGATATTATGTTCATAGCATGAGAATACAGAAACAGACTCTAATTGAGAAGTTTAATGGTTAATTAATGAATTTATCATGCGTTAATGTCGTATGACGTAGGTTCAATTTAACGCCATCAGCCGTAAACAATCCTATGATCGAGATTTCCGAGCGGAATTTCTTTCGCTTTATAGGTTACTCAGGATACTTTATAGGTTTGATTCACCTAGAATGATCCTCGTCCTAGTAAACGGAGACAATTAAGGTCATAGGGGTACGGTCAAAAAACATTTGGTGCCTACAAGGCTAAATGCCCAAAACCCACCGCTAAACCGACTTAATTTATTCAAATCTGGGCTTTCGGACCACGACCTCAAGCAAATATTTGGGTTTTCCAGGCCCATGGATAGAAAGCCCGACAGGGTCAAACCAGCCCACCCGTTTAAAAAAATTAGGAATTTTTATCGGATCTACTGCCGGTGCAAAAAAAAAAAAAAAAACTTGCACATTTTCGTTGGATGGATGAGATGTGTACTTGAAGATAGTTGCGTTACCGGTTCATCCGCGTGTCACTAATTCAACGGTGAATGTGTGAAAAGTTTTTTACACTTGCAATAATAATCGTTCATTCGTATTTTATATATCCTGAGCAAGCGAGCCAACAAAAAAGGTTTGAGGTGTAAAGGGTCTAATTCTTTAAAGTCGCCCAAACCATTGGAGGGCCAAAGTAGGCTTGATAGTAATGGAAAAAGTGATGGCATTAGGGTTAACTTCCTTTCTTTAAATGAAACTTCTATATCTTCTAAGCACTATTATGTCAATTACTTAGTAAGTGCATGATCGGTAGAGGTGTCAAAATGGGTCTTAAACCCATATATGATCCATTTAAAAATAAATGGGTCATATATGGGTCACTTAATTTTAAAGAGTCAACCTTAAATGGGTTTTAAATTTTAAAACTTAAAGATAAATGGGTCTACATGGGTTGAGTTTGGAACTCATGTCCAATCCACCCACTAGACCCATCCACACATTCTCTTTCTCTTTATAAAGATGTTTAAAAAAAATCGAAATTTAATTATTTTTATTTTTTCTCCTTTTCTTTTATTTTTTATTTTTTCTTTTCTCTTCTTTCTTTTTCTTTTTTTTTTTATTCCGGCCGGTGGTCGGCCACGGCGACCGGCCACCGGGGCGGGACGACCTCGCCGGAGGCCGGCGAAGCTCGAGCTCACCGGCCTCCGGCGAGGCTCGAGCCTCGCCGGCTGTGGCGAGACTCGAGCTCGCCGGCCTCGGCCGAGGCTCCACCTCGCCCGGATCCGGCGAGGTAGAGCTCGCCGAGGCCGGCGAGCGAGCTCGAGTCTCGCCAGATCCGGCGAGGTAGAGCTCGCCCGAGGCCGGCGAGCTCGAGTCTCGCCAGATCGGCGAGGCTGGAGCCTCGCCTGAGGCCGACGAGGCCTCGGCCTCGTCAGATCGGTGAGAACGAGCTTCGCCGGCCTCCGGCGAGCTCGTCCTCGCCTGTGGTCGGTCGCCAGCCACGGCGGCCGGCGATCGGCCAAAAATAAAGGAAAAAGAGAAAAATAAAAATAAAAATAAAAATAATTAAAAATTCGATTTAAAAAATAAATAAAATATTAAATTTTTTTATTTTCTTGGATAATGACTTTATGAAAAATATTTTCTAGAAATGTCGCATTTTTCGTAAAACAAACAGAACCTCAATTTTAAAAAAAATTATAAAAATTTTTCACTAGCTTTGTATTGCATAAAATGTTTTAGCAGTATAATTTTTTAAAAAAAAATCATAAGAAACAAGTATTCCTAGATTAGGTTAAATATAAAAGTATTTTAGCAATATGGGTCGGGTCGGGTATGGGTCGAGATATTTACACTAAGAATAAATGGGTTATAAACGGGTTAATGGGTCAATTTGGATCGGACCATTTATGACCCGACCCAAACCCGACCCGACCCACCCGTTTAACAGGTCTAATGATCGGACACCGGAATTTGATAACCGAAATTAATAGAAGAACGATTTCCAAGACCAAGCCATGCTCAAACGAGTGCAAACTAATTCAAATCGATTTAGCATATGCAAATCTTTCTCTTTTTAGGCCACCTATATTCTTTGCCCAAGCCCATCTCCTACCCTAGCGGGAAAATTCTCCAAAAAGCCCTTAATTTATTGTACTTTTGTCAATTCGGTCATAAACCTTTTAATTTTGCTAATTGAATCTTAAATAATTTCACATTTTGTCAATTGAGTCCATCCGATCAATTTTAACCAGAAATCACTGACGTGGATGTCGGCTGTAGGATGGCCAGTGTTGACATGGAAAATTTTTAATAATAATTTAGTACTTTTTGAATTTATTTATTATTTTATTTTTCTTTTCTCTCTCTCTTTTTCCTCTCTTTCTCCTCTAGCCGGTCACTAGGGGTTGGCAATGAACGATGACCAGCCAGAGGCGAGGGCCGACAAGGTCAACCTCGCCAGCCTTGGGCGAGCCTCCCCTACCCCTGGCGAGGCTCAATCATTGTCGCTAGGTGAGGCTAGGCCTTGCCATGGTTGGAGAGGTTATGCCTCGCCTAGCCATGGGGAGGCCGAGCCTCGCCCAATGACGACGAGGTCAAGCCTCGCCATGGTTGGGCGAGGTCCAACCTCGCCAAGGGCAGGCGAGGCTTGTCCTCGATGGTGGCCGGTGGGGGCAAGCTTTGCTAGAGGTTTGCCTCTGACTAGTCGTTAGGCCTCGGCAACCAGCTAGAGGAGGAAGAAGGAAAGAAAGAAAATGAAAAAAAAATTGGAAAAATATTAAAATATTAGTGGAAATGTCCACGTCAGTGTCGGTCACGCCGCATAGGACAGCCAGTATCCACGTTAGCTATTTCCTGGTAAGATTGGCCTAATGGACTTAATTGGCAAATCATGAAAAATTTTAGGACTCAATTGACAAAATTGAAAGGTTTAGTATTGAATTAGCAAAAGTACAATAGGTTTTGGACTTTATGGACAATTTTCCCCCATGCTAGCACATTGCTCAAGTTCAAAACTCTTATTGTTAGAATCATGATTAACTCAATGTATGTCATGGAGAAAATTAACATCAATGAGTTTTGCTACTAAAAGAAGCAGGGGAAGTACATAAAGCATACCCACACCATCTAGTGGTAAGGAAATTGAGTGGGAGGGGAAGGTTTAGTTTCAAGTGTGGAGTCTTGAAGGGCAAATTCCGAAGAAGAAAGATTGGAGTCAATAATTGTAATGAGGCGACACTTTCTGTAAATCGTGTTCGAAGGGTGTAGATAGTAAATCTATGCCGATTTTGTGTGTGTCTAAAGTTTCATCTCACTCTTATGTGATGAAGTACTTATATCGACCTCGATCGTACCAAAAAAATCCCGATTATTCACCCGTGTCGACACGAGAACATTCACGT